ATTTCAGATCACCGTTTTTTAAACATTTTGTTTAGACTTGCCCTTTGGCATCACAACTCTGGACTGTGCCTCCCATCGCTAAAACAAAAGTAAAAAAAAAAGTCTTCGACGTGCGAGAGCTTTTTTTTTCACAGTAAAGATTGAGACGATGTTTGCGCTCGGTGCATACCTTCTTGTGTGTGCTTTGTAGGTTAACATCTGGGATATGAGCGTAAAGTACCAACTTCCTCTGCAGATGTTAGAAGCGGAATGTAGCATCTTTCTAGGTCAGCCGCTCTGCATATCTCATGAAGAGTCCAAATGCGTTTTAATTTAAAATGTATTCTCATTTCCGTTAAACACATGTTGAAAAGGTTAATGTGCTTATCCATTTTGTTAAATATAATTTTGTTTTAAAATGCAACTGTTACAAGATTTTAGTCGGCATGAAACAAGCCAAATTTGTTACACATTGTTCTTTTTACATGGCTTTCATGGCTTTTAACATTAAAAAACCCCTTCCAAATATTTTTTGTAGGGTATCGTTTCCTGCAATGCCGTAAAAAAGTGAATATACGATCTCATTGCCATTGATTCATGTTACATGCTAGTATCCGCGTTGTGGTGAAGTCTCAAACACCATAGAATGTTTGTAAAGGTGAATTTGACATCTTGAGAGTAACGAATACTCATCACGTGTACGAGACAGCCATTGCTCACAGAGACGATGGACATTTTTGGACATTTAGCTCCTTGTTGAGTTTGCCGTTATATCGAATGTGCCACTATCCTAGCTTATCCATGTTTTGGGTGCCTGTTGATTTGGCTGCAGGGTTTGAACATGTGTTTGACTTGATTGTTAATCATGCAAGTCCACCGACTGTATCCTGTGTTTCCACATGTTAAAGGTTAATGTAGTAATGAAAATAGGCCATACACACACGTATTCCGATTTCACTCAGCTGACATTTCTAATCCGAAGGTGGTGATTTTATAATGGCATAAAGTTTGTTTTTGTTAGAGTATGTGTAAAATATTTGTTTACATTATTTGTCATATTCATTTATACACTATAGTTTGTAATGAGGTGCTCATTTGTAAGCTAAAGCCCAGATAATTAGAAGCAGACCAACTCTGCTTAAGTAGCTACGGAATTATAACAAAAACATTTCGGCGTGTCCTTTGTTCTGATACATTATAATGATGAATGCCTCCACAAGGTGGTGGTGGTGGCAGCGGCGGCTTGGAGGATGCCTTCATCCAGCAGTGCATAATTATGATAAATGATTAATAATTCCATTGATTTATCACGAACCTGAAACCCAATTAATTGTATGCTAGTTTCGGAAGGTGTCAGTAAAGTAAACACAAGTATAATGCTCTAAACTTCATAAAAAAAAAAGAACTCAATGCCTTCATCAATGACACAGTGACCATAAGAGAAAGACATATATTTACACGATCTAACCCAAAAAAACCTCTATTATGAAATAAATATATAGTATAGTGGTGACATTTTGGCCAATGGCGCTTCTTCATAGCACTTAAATAGAGGCTAAAAGGTTAGATTGGATAATTGGAGTTAAAGACTGTTTCTTAATTGTTTTTTAATTGGCATATGAAGCGTTACCCCTTCGGCTTTTGGCAATTTGTTGTATTACTTTAGTTATACTTTAAAGTGTAACACGAGCTGCATATGATATGCGAAAATATCCGTGCTGCATATGCATCGTATGCAATATAACATCACACAAATCTACTTCTAAGTTAAACAGTGCCATCATTAGCACCGAATATTGTTATGAGAATTAGATGAATATGCAAATGTTATAAGTCATTCAATGACCCTGGGGACCTATCTTTGAGCTTTACATTTTTATTATGCAAACATACAATGTATTTTGAAGGCAAAAAAATACTTCTGTGTGTTTATAATCTTGAAAGGCTTGTTATATATATAGTTTTTTTAATTGTCAATTTCACTTTTCCAAAAGCACTGCATTATGCTGTCTGTTGCTTCTTCATTTCAATTTTTTTTTCATCCTGATTCTCAGGTATAAAATATTTTTTACTGCTTTGTGTCTGTCAAATATTGATTTCCTTATGTTCAGAAAAGCTGTTGTACTAGGATTTGGTTTTGCGCATATGTTTATCGAGGTTTAAAAGTTTCCTGTAAATAGTGTTGTTGCGAACGTACCACCTCCTTGTCTGACACCTCTTCTGATTTGTATTAAATGTACTTTCTTGTACGGAGTCTTCCACGTATCTGTGGCATTCAACAGAAATGGTAATCAGAAGCAGACAATGTGCCCAAGAAAACGACTGCCATGGAGATGCAGTGATGAGATAAAGTCAGCTGGAGGATTCAAGTGGAGCGTGGCATCATGGGGCCATGTGGGATGGTGACGGTGTAGGGAGGCCTTTGTCCAGCAGTGGGTAGAACTTGGCTGGAAAAAGTGCACTTTGTTAAGTGTTCAAACAAGTTTCGATTTAAAGCTTTCGTGACTGCAGGGATTCATCTTCTGGGTTCTTTCGGTAAAGTCACGTAGAATGGAGATAAAATAATAAAACATAATAACAGAATAAAATTCTCACGACGTTTCGGCCACAACACAAGTAGCCTTCCTCAGGTGAAGACAGCGCTGTCTTCCAGACAGTCCTGTTTCTTCACCTGAGGAAGGCTACTTGTGTTGTGGCCGAAACGTCGTGAGAATTTTATTCTGTTATTATTATTTTATCTCCATTCTACGTGACTTTACCGAAAGAACCCAGAAGATGCCTTGCAATGCCTTACTCACGCCCACTGATGGTGGAAGAGGGCCTCCACGAGAGGACGCTCGACATAGCTCCTCGATATCCCACCTCTGGAGGTTATTTGGTCCACTCTGGCCAGATGCATTGGAAGAGTTGGGAGTGCCCACCATCCGCTATCTGCCGATCCATTATCCGTGGGGCACCCACTCACTTATACTGCTGGGTGGACAGAGGTGTTGGAGGGGGCGGGGGGGGCGGTGGGGATTTAAAAAATAACTTGCACAATTGTTTGAAACTGCCTCGCGGGAAGACTTAGCAACTGAGCAAAGAGCTTTTCAAAAATTCTCAATTCTGCTTGGATATCTGCCGTTTTGTAATGCTATTCCGAGCTCCAAAGCAGCCATCATTGTCAACTTTTGAAAATGCCGCATTAAGATTACCCAGATAATGTCCTGTTCGTTATTCAGTGACTGGAAAAATGCAATCGTTGGCATCATGCACATTGGCTCATTGTCTAACCACTAGATTATCTTGGTTCACATTATTCTCGTTATTCGGTATCTCTTTCCAGATCTGCTTGCTCAAGTGACATCCGCTAAGCTTATTCCAAGCCCACATGACTTCCTGTGTTGTTATTGCCCCAGTTTGAAGTGATGTTATGCTGCCAACTTATTGGGACTCTCCATTGCTTGGTTATACAACTGTATACAAATACCATGTGATATTGCGCTCTACGTCACTGATCGACGGTGTCTGTGAAAAATATGTTCTTTGTGCTGCGTACTCATTTTAGCCGATATATTTTGTTGAATTCTTTGATTTGCCATTTAACACACATGCGTGCGTTGCCATGTACTGGTGTCGCCTCTCCGGTTGTACAGCACGAGATGCTTCAATTCAGATCCTGACGAAGCTCCCAGCAGCACGTGGAGCGAAACGTCGGACACTGCGTCACTCTAACGACCGAGAAGACTTTCGCAGTCGCGCCGTACGTGTCTCCGATTCGGCGTTCGCTTTGCACCGCGTGTGTTTCTTTCGCTGCAATGTCTGACATTTGAATCCCAGCAACACATGGGGAGAAATGTCGCACGCCGTGAGAACAACAGGCGGCCCAGCCCAAAGGCAGATCAGAGAGTGATGTTTTTTTGCACGTGCCGTGAAAGTTATTATTGGCAAAAAGATAACAGTATATGATGGCCTTTCCTCATAATTTCATTTGGACTCGTGTTCGCATTATGCGTAAATTGTGTAGTCGTGCTTTCTGTTTTTATCAAAAGTAAAAAAAAATGTATTCGCCCTTACTGCGACCCATAGGCATCTTGTGACTTGAGTTTAGTGATTCAAAGAATGCCTTAGCCTGGCTATTATTTGATCATTCACATTACCATTCAAATACTCTTGTTATTCTTTATGCTATTTTTGTAACTGTACGTGTAGATTTTAATGAATTGTAATTAACATATCATACCAGGCCGTAAAAAGAAACATTACTCTCACGGTCATACAATCAAATTCAGGCCGCTGGGTGGCCTGGCAGTGGACATGGCAAAGAATTTCAGTCCACACTGTTTTTTTTTTACGTGTGTGTTTGTGTATAGGGAATAAGATGGATGGCTCCAAGAGGCGGTCTGCTGGGCACAGCATTCTAAATATGACAACTGGCTACTAACATCTGGTTTACATTGAATGTGTACCCAAGCCACTGAATGTGGGGGTGAACATTCCTTGCTTATGAAGCGAAATGCATGTGTGTGTGTTATGGTTGTTTATCGAGAATCAGCTCCTAATGTTCTAGTCAGACTCTTGAGGTTGTTATTTTTTTCCCCTCCTTTTATTCAAAAGGTCAAGTTACATTCTATGGGACTATATGAAAATAAAAAATATATATTTGCTTTGTTTTTTTATTAAGTCAGGCTGTGAACGACGATACAGGAATTTAAACAATTCTCAAACGAACAACAACATAATTACTGAACTCTTTGGGATGTTTTTGGTTAACCAACAAGTTTTGTGAGTGGCACGAATTTTTCATGTTCAATGTAGGTTTTATGATTTCCATTATCCAATTTTGTTATGAAGATCACATGGCCTCAAGAAAATAAATGCTTTAAGCACATTTTCCACCTTTTCACCTAAAATTCAAGGCTTGACACTTGGACACTGAGCTTGCATCCAAACATTACAATCGAGTCATTCCTTTCGTATTGGTGTTGAGCTCCGTGCTTTTACAAAAATTTGTTTTATTAAATTGAGGCCGATTGCGATGGTTTTTTTGTTCATTCAAGGTTTATTGCCGTGTAATATTAACAGTTTACGGACAATTACAAAACATTATATCAACAGTCTTTGCAGTGGTCTATTACTTCATTCCTCAGTACAGGTCACAGATTAGCTTTTACCCAGCATAAGGTTGTTTTTTTATACATGGTTTTGTCATTTTTGACAGACGACAGGTGGAAAATCATCACCGACTGCAGACTTTAAACATCCCAAAAAAATAAAAGCATCATGTTTCTACAGCTACCCACTGTCGTTTTAATCGGTGCCGATATTATACAAGATGATGATTTCTTCCTTGCAAACAACACACAAAAACCCTGAAGTAATTAACAAAAAATTGTAAAAAACCCCACAGATACTAAAATACGCTGGCTTGTGATTAACAAAGAGCTTCAAGTTCAAAAATGGAAAGTAATTAACATAGATCACATTAAAGTATTTTACATGTAGTTTTTAAAATGTATATAATGTAATGTATTTTTAGAAAAAAATTTATAGAATCAAAACGTACAGTAATTCTTTCATATTCATTTGTACGTTTGAAATACGGCTTAGCAGTGCAGTATTCTTCATAACCATATTACTAGCACCATTTTTTTTTAAATAGCGTGTTGTTAGCGAATCTTACAACAATTGCATTCATATTAACTGTTTGTGTAATAGCGAGTAAGCCAAACAACTCCTGTTTCACGTTTTTGAGTTCCTGTTGTAATCTGGCGTCAAATGCACCACTTTCTTTTGGGACCACAAATGGCTGTGCAGACTTTCACGCTGAATTGATTAACTTTTCTGGAAATTTTTATATATATTTTTTATTTGGCAGTACTTGAGTTGAAAACGCCAATACATCATTGCTTAATTAAGTTGTGCTTTTGGAATTACTGGCCTTAACCCAGGAAAATGCACATTGACATGTTTTGACCAATAGGCAGACATTTATTACCATTTTGTCACAATTCACTTTTAAAAACGTAAAGTGTAATTCTTATTGCAGAAAGCCTGACTGTTACAATTCATGTATGATAACATTTCATAGTTTTTGTCTTGCCCATCATGATGCAAAGAGATCAACTTTATAGAAAATGTCATTGTCATTTTACTCCAGTATTGATGCAAAGCTAACAGAAAATTGACAGTCTCATTGGGCATCTTGCATTCAAAATTTTGAATCTGAATAACACGGAATTTAGAAATACAGAGCTAAAGTTTAACCTTCAAACAAAGGGGGCAGAAATATTGTTCAAAAATAAAATAGAAAAGGCATGTACAATGATATCTCAATTATTTTATATAATACTTTTAATACAGTACCCAGTTTATTTCAAGCCAATTTGTTATTATTATTTAGTGTGTGGCGCACAACTTCACAACCGTAGTTATATTTTGTAACAACATCACTGCTCTTTGGAGTAGACAATGTACATGGTTAATATTGTACTTTGTGCTCGCGGTATCACTAGGCAGCTTTCTAAATGCATTCTTATTATTATTATTGGTAGTTTCATTTCAATCAACTCCCAACCCTTTATTCCCCCAGCTACCCCACCCATATAACAACACTCCGTTTTTTTTTTCCCAATCTCGTATTCCTCACACAATCTCTCAGCAATTACCTCAACCCTTACCGCTGTCTAACTCAGTGGTGCGCACGCACTCACGCACTCACGCGCTCTCGCGTGAGTGCGTGAGTGCGTGAGCACGGGCACGAGCGGCAGGTGCGATCAATGCAGCAGGATGCGCAGCTTCAATCGCAGAGCCTGACCGAGCTCCCCGGAGAGGTAGTCCTTCTCGTGAGCGGCCTCCAGCCGCCGGAGCTCCTTGCGGCGGAAGGTGGGCACGCCGGTGACCTCGAGGGTGTGAGCGGACGGGCGCTGCACGGCCGCCGCCTTGCGCTTGGCCAGCAGCAGCGAGCTGCCGAGGTCGCTCCGGCTCTCCGACTCGCCCTCGTCGTCGGCTAGGGTCTGACCGATGCGGAAGATGCCCGCCTCGTTGCCAGCCACGATTGAGTACTTCACGTGGTTGTTAAGCGGGGCGAGCGCCGGCAAGAGGTCGAGGATGGAGTCTCCGTCCTCCAGCGAGCTGATGTTGACGTGCACGGTCACGGGGCGCTCCACGTCCAGGCTGGCCATGTTGATGTCTGTGGCGTTCTCGCGCAACTGCGGCACGTGGGTGGGAAGAAAGGACCACGAGTGTGCTCGGTTAACCTCTCATATTTTTTCCACTCCCCTGCGGTATAAAAATGATGTCATTTTGAGAGCTCGGGTAGATGAATGTATGCCCAAAGTTATTTCGTTCAGATCCTATACGACGATGGATCCGTGTGAATCGTTTCTTTTTTGTCTCGCTCAGATAAAACATTCAACCACAATTGGAAATTAAGCCACGATGAAGCAAGGCATTGGATATAACGACTCTATAAAAATAATTACATTATATCAATCGGGTCGATCCGTTGAATGTCTGTTTATTGGAATAGGCATGGGAGGAAACAATGGTGTGATATGCAACACACTAGGAATAGTTGCCTAGCACAAACATGCAAAATGTTCTTGAGTCTCTTTTATGTCAAGGGAAATGGCTGCACCCAAGGCAACAATTTTAAAGAGCCCTGGGCTCTTAACGTCAACAAATCTTCCTCGAGCCACCCTGCCCTGCCCTGCATTTATTTATTCAGGCTTCCTTCGAAGTGCCAACAAAAGCAGCCTCAGATGTTTAAAGCTGTGTGTGCTTTTGTGCTCAGCAAGTATTTCCAACTTTTCCATTGGTTCACAAAAATGTTTTTAGAATCAGAACTGTGGCACAATCACATTTGGGAAGGCCATTGCAATCCTTAATGGAAATTATTACTGCCAAAGCGGTGAACTGTGAGTTCAGAGCATCCTTCCATTGTTGAGGGTTTTATTGGTCAGTGAATTCAAATAAGCCCGTGTGTGCATCTGAATCTGGCACAGAGTTTGTCTCGGCTCACTTAGGCAACTCATAATATTAATCGACCGCCATGGTCAATACACTGCTGGCTGTCTCCAAGCACCTAATTTTAAGCATCGGACATCATCGCTTCTGGCGACATGTCCTGCCGACAGCCCCCTTATTATAATGAACAATAGGTTAGTTTCTCAAAAGAAGATTGTGATGTTTCAACTCACTAGCCTTTCTGAAGGAGGCTGACTGGTCTGTTGACCTTTTTCATAATCAATGTCAGCTACAATTCCAAGGTCTTTCTTGCCTACCAATGATTGTAAAGAAACAATTTGTATTTTTCAACCTGTCATTCATAATTATTCTTAAGAATGCTCTAGTGAAACGATAGAACAGTCTTATTTCTGAACTGGTCATTTAAGGCAATTTCCATTAGTTTACATATTTCTCCAGGACATAATCACACAATGGCCCATCTTTGTGAAATACGTTACAAACAGTTTGGAGTTTTACTCTTCAGCAAATAGCACGTGTCGTCAACATTGCCATGTGGCTGTCAATTGGAACCCAAGATCCGTGCTTGCAAGCAAATAGAGTGGCTCACTGGAAAGAACAGAAAACACTGAAAGCTATATAAATATTTACTAGGTGATGAGTTCTTCATGTCCAGACATCAACAAACATCATCTGCTTGTGACAATGCAAGTGAGTTTGGAGACACTCTGGCCGGTCTGCATGGTTGGTTGCATCTACTCCAACTCTTAACATTCCCATTCGGTCTTCAATTACTTTCCTCGCCACCCCCATTGTGATTAGATTAATTGTCAGGATTCTTGATTGTAATTCGATTCAAGATTTTATTCATTTTACATTGTGGTGAGTGTGAAAGTAGCCTAGTTGGAGCAGGAATCGCTTGAACCCATTAAATGCAGAGCATCTGAATAGAAAGTAATCCATTCTTATGCTCATGAGTGAAAAACTCATTTCAATTAATGAGTTGATGCATCGTGAGACCCCAAGTTCCCATGCATTAATTTCGCCTAGGCACCAGGTTGTTATTTCAAGTGCTCAAAATGGGTCAGAACGATTTCAATGCTCAAACGAGCGTTGAGGCGGTGCTCATATCCCGTTAAAATCCCTGAGCCAGTGGTGGAAACTCCACATTCCTGTGGTGGGGTTAAGTCTCTCCATAGGACAACCACTGTTGACTTCCCCAGGATACGAACCCTCACAACCTCCTGATTTGTGAGCCGCCCGCTCGCCTTACCGCCGAGCTGGGTGGGTACAAGCTCACGGAAGGCGTCAAGCCTGCGGGCGCGCTGTCCATACCTCTGCAGGTTGCGCGTTCTGCCCGGCATTTCTGCGTTGGCGGTTGGGCTTGGGGTAGCCGTTGATCTTGCACTCGTAGCACGTCTCCGACGACAGCACGTTCTCATCCTCCTGCAGCTCTGCGGGCCCAGTCCCTGGCACGGACCCCGGTCCGTACGCGCTCTTACCCCCAGCGCTGCCTCCAGACACACAGTGCCTGCAGGGGAGTCAAGCGCAGGGTGATTAACCCCCGCCCCCCCCCAGCCCATCATTTGCGCATCCACCGCTCTTGACCCGTCGTGTCTTTGGGTTATGTTACCAGCATGTGGGGGGGGGGGGGGGGTGGTGCGCGGCGGTGAATTTACAAAATACGTGGGTTGGATCACGTAAATGTTATTAAACCCACCACCATCTGACACAGCCGATTAGTAAAGTTTGTCACATAAAGAGAACATGCCAATTTGTTATTAGTACAGCACACCGGTGTATTGGACAGCAAAGCCACAACATTTACAATCTTAGTACTGTATTATTTAGTAAGGGTTGTCATGTGAAAAACGTGCCAATTAGCTATTACTTCAGCACATAGGTGTGATGGCGAGTAAAGCCACAACGACTCCAATTGAGTACGAAGTTTCACTAGTGATTACAACCAGCTTCATCAGGAGATTTGCCAGGAATGTCAGTCTCGCCATCACACCTATGTGCTAAAGTAATAGCTAATTGCCAGGTTATTTTTTTTTAAGGTGCGCAGTTGTTTCCTGGCGGCATTCAGTAAACTATCAAAACAATTGTGTTTTAACATTTCTTAATAGACGCGCGTATGATATATAACAGCTTGGTAGTGAATTAGTGAAACTCTCTACTGCACAGATAAAGTGGTGAAAACATAAATTTTGGTTTTATTTTGGTTTATTTAATCTCCATTCAAACTAATGGTGTTCTATAGGACGATTCTTTGCATATAAAAGTCAGAATTACACTCAAGTGATTGGAGATTAAAACGTGGGAATCGTTCCATAGACGAATTAAGATTCACGTAAGAATTGTCCAATGCGTGATATTGCTTCGAAGAAAGGGGCATATTGCCCAAAGGCATCACCTATCCCATAACTCTCCTTTACAGGCCACAGTATCGGTGATGAATGCGTTGTGTGATAGTGGCATTAGGATGCGATCCCTAGCAGAAATCACGTGGCGCTGGAGAACAACGGTGCCCTTTACACTTCCCATTGATCATCTCGTAAGAAGCTGAAAAAAGTTCAACCACTTCAAAAATATACAGTCCCTTCCACATGAGGCACTGCCTCGGGCAGATAGAGAAAAATGAAATGACTTGTGAAGGTTTGTGGTAACTTGGCATGATAGAGTGAAGATGAAAACCACATCGCCAAACATTCTTTACGCACGTGATCTGTGAGATTAACTACTTTAATAAAAGCAGCGTTTTCTCTTATAAGGCAGGGCTAACGATGGACTTGGTAAGCCGCTCGGATTTGTGGTTGTGCACCACTGCTAACGCAGTCCCTTATTTGTATGTGTTATTGAATGGTGGTTTAGAAAACATAACCTCACACTAAAGAGGGACCACTGCCCAGAACATTACTCTGTTATAATTATTTTCTGTAATAAGGCAGCGTGTTGGGGATTTTTTCTGAAGTTTGTGCTTTTAGAGTACCGCCAATGCAGTCCCATAGTTTACCGTTTATTTAACACAGATTTTGTTTAATTGCCAGGTTAGCCATCCTTGCTATAGACACATGTGCTGGGACATCTGCAGTACACTTAATTATTTTCAATAATGATCTCCAAGAATTTTGGGACTGCTTGAAAACCTAAGAGCTCCAGGCGATCTATCTTTCCATGAGTGCATATTAAACTGAAACGAGCGCGTTCGAGCGTGGGTGGACCGTGTACAAAAACACTCGTAATGTCCAAACTCTGCACTGAATGACTCTGTTGGTGCAACTCAAAGGGTTCGTTGTGTATTCAAATACGTAATGTATTTCCCTCTGCGGAATTCCACCCCCACTCTGCTGCGCTAAGAATTCTAAACGTTTTTTTTTATTTATTTGACCAGGTACGTTCCCACTGAGCAACGTAGTTATTTTTCAGAAGCGACCTGGTCACAAATGATAGCCCAACGGAAGCGGCTTATCACGTGGAAATTTATAGCAGCCAAATACTCGAAACGCATGTTGACTAAATGCGGAGGAAAAAAACGGAGCACCCCGGAAAAATCCAGGTGACCACAGGGAGTCGGGATTGAATCCACGACCTCCTGTATAGCAGGCGAGGTAGTTAACATCTCAAAGCCACCGTGATGCCAAGGCTTGACCGCTTACCCCTGGCCGGCGCGGAAGTAGCCGGGAGGACAGCCGCACAGGTATCCGCCCTCCGTGTTGGAACAGCCAAAGTTGCAGGGCGCCTTGGAGTGTGAGCACTCGTTGACGTCGTTGCATCCGCCGGAGAACTGATCGAAGTTGTATCCATTTGGACAGGCGCACTTGAAGCTGCCAAGCGTGTTGTAGCACGACGCCGAACCGCACACTTGGGGGTTCGTGCACTCGTTCTCGTCTGCGGGAAAACGCAAGGGGGCAAATTAAACAAGGGGGCAAAAACCCGCTAAAGGCCAGCAATGGTACGTTTCTAACAATAATAATTGTAATAATTCCATTTATGTTGCGCCTTTCGTCGTGGACCTCAAAGCCTCTGGCGCTTAAACTGAATTCTAATAACTCTCAACGCAGCACATCGTGGTTTGCCTTAGGTAACTAATCGTAATGGTAATATTCATTTCAACTTGTAATGGGAACGGTATTGACTCATTCTCAACGAAGGAGAATGACTCAGAAGTGCGAAGAACCACAGACAAGCAGGAAGTCAGCCACGCAGTGAGTGGACGCCAACAATTGGCCAAGCTCTGCAGTCCCCTATATATTCAGGTGTTATCGGTCATTTAATGAGTGTTTAAACGTGGGAGGAAATCGGAGCACCCGAAAAAGAGCCACACGTGCGAGGGTGTAACATTCTAACCCCGACGGACGGAACAGGTGGAGTCGACATTTTTGCATTCTCCTGGCGAGCCAGGGAATGGCACCCTCTTGACGCACACGGGAAATAAGTTTTGCGACATTTGTGTGAGCCACAGTGCTGGATAGCCACCGCAATGCAATCCTTTAAAACAAATGTCCTACAACTTTGGTTCGTGGTGCAGCTGTTAGCACAATTCACTATGAACCCGATGACCTGAGTTCACTTCCTGGCAATGGCAAAACATTGGTGGCAGAGGGTGAGGGTCTTTCCATAGTGCGGCCATCATCATCAACTGCCTTCAAGAAAGCCTGACCTCGTGTTATCGACCTCATACGGATGAAGGGATCGAGTCAAAACCCTGTCCAGAATTTAAACTCGCAACCTTCCAATTGCGAGCCGCGCATGCTGTCGCCGCTCCACCACGCTAGAAGTAAATTCAGGAAACTAGCGCACCGTAGTTGGTCGGCAGGTGGCATGCGGTGGGGTCACGTGTGAGTGCTCCCACCTCTTCCCTATACGTCTTGCCGGCAGGGAAGAGTAGGTCAAACAACCTCTATATGGCCTCTATAGAGCTGTCCCAAGCAGAAGCCCCTGCCGCCAACAGAGGCGTGAGCAAGCAATCGCAGGGGCTTGCATATCTCCCTTTGCGATCTTATTATTAACTCTGTTGTCATCAGTTGTTCGGCAGCTGTTGCGTAGCAGACTACTGTGCACCCACCGACACACTGGTTCCATTGGAAATGCTGCAGGTATCCCGAGGGGCAGCCACACCGGTAGCCACCCAGCATGTTCTGACAGCCGTGCTGGCAGCGGTGGTTTCCAGAGCACTCGTCCATGTCTGAAAAGAATAGTAAATGAAAATGTACACCATTAAACCAAACTACTTATTTTATTTCACCAGTTTAGGCCCACTGAGTTATATAGCTCTTTTTTCAGAAGCGACCTAGCCACAAATGATAGCTCAACGAAGTGGCTCATCATGTGGAAATTTATATCAGCCAAATACTCTGAATGCATGTTTCTAAATGTGGAGGAAAAAAACGGAGGACCCGGAGAGAAATCCACGTGTCCACGGGGAGAGAAACATGGAAACTCCAAATATACAGGCGTCAGGGTCAGGATCGAGCCCACGACTTCCTGTACACCAGGCGAGGTAGTTAACATCTTGCCACCGTGGCACCCACAGACATAGTCTGCAGTAGTTTCACAGTAGAGGAGGGCCGATCGAGCAATTTGCAGGTATCTTTATTTGGCAAATATTGAACGACTTTTCGAATCACATCACACGATCTTTTAACGTCCACTGTGAAGCAAACGGGGGATAAATTTAACGGTTAACATGTCTGTAGTACTAGCCAAGGCGGCCTACGGGATGCGAACCACGAACGTCTGCAATAAATAGAAAATGCGCTCCCTCTGGGCCGTGCCATCGACGTGCACAGTACAACAAAACGACGCTTCAGAATGAAATGTGGGGGACAGCAATTCAATAAATACCGCTGTGTCGTAGTGCACGTCCATACGAAAGCTTCTATGCTTACTATGCCCGCGCGTTACGCACGTGCAACCGACTTCCCAACAAAGGGACTACTTGGTGCTGCAGAATGTGTTACCTTCACAGTTGCTGCCACTGTTGTCGAGGCTGAAGCCCTTCTGGCACTCGCATGAGAAGCTGCCCGGAGAGTTCTGGCACACACCCTTGGAGCCACATGTTCCGGGCTGGGACACGCACTCGTTGTTGTCTGTGGCCATTCACAACAACAAGCAACGTAAACCATCATCACAGGCAAACTCCGGTCATCGTCGCCGCGGCTTTTGGCTGGCTATCGAACAAAGACGACCGCTGCATTGGGCGCTTTTCAGACGTGCTTCTGCGGTCGTCTGGAGCGCTCTTCCTTCTGATATTAGGCAGCTGCTGGAGCGATGCACTTTTAAATCTATTATTTTAAACGAATTTCTTTAGAACTGCTTTTTGTGTTTAGTTTGTTGTTCTGTCCCCGTACCTCAGATTAACACGGTTGGCTGCGTACGGTGCGAAAGAAGTTCAATGTACACACACACATACAGAAATCAAACATACCACTCTGAGTTATTGTTACGTCTATGTCAAAACTTCAGTTGCCATTCATGTGTGGAATATTGCGAATATCGGTGGTGAGATTCGATCTCCCAGCGTCGCAGCTGAGACGATGGTGCATGTTTCTTAAATCCACCCTGTACTGTTCATCCAACAGCATAAATGAGTACACCACAGTTAGCTAATTTCCAGGTCACATGCGGTAGGGTTAAGTGTGGGTATTCCTACTTATTCGAAGACATCGGGCCAATGTGAAAGAGTAGGCGATTTACCCTCTGGAGGGGCTCACCCTCCTCTAGTGGATGCTCTTCTGCTAGCAGTAGGATGAGGGAGACATTTAAGGGCTGCACCTTTGGCTAATGACCTTTACATGCAACTGGGATTATTTTCCTTTGAACAATTCCACAATTTTGCCCTTTTCTACAGAAGACAGGGGGGAGGAACCACAAAGTATAACGTTTTTTTGTGGCTCCAGCCCACTAGGAACTTGGTTTGAATTACTATTGGCCACTCAATCAGTCACTCACAATCAGAAAATATAGAATTCCTGTGCATTAAATGTGCCCATTCGTTAACCTGTCGAAGTGACAGGAAACCTGCGCTGGCAGTTGAGAGCAATTTCATTCCCCTCCCCACCTCACCACCTATGCCCCCTTTGCCTCTCAACCTCAGCATTTCGAAGTAATCAAGTTTACGGCCATTTGTGAAAGCCAAAGCCAGGGTCTGCTCCAGCCAATAATTGCACGTGTGTGTGAGCGGTAGTGTAGCGGCTCGCGCGCTGCGCTACAAACCCGGCGATCCGGGTTCCATTCCCGCTCGCGATCGACACCAGTGACGATCATCTGAACCGGTCCTGAGCCTCAAATGAGTACCTGGTGCGGTGCGTAAACATCACCACTGGGAGGCCAAAGGCGGCCGGCCGGGCGTGGTGCTTGCCACCCAACCCCCTTCCTGTGCCGTGCTGGCTTTCATAGGCGCTGCTCGCTTAAAGCACTTGCCCCAACAGTCTGTTACAGGCTGCAAGGGGTGGGGGGGCGGATCTTTGTCTTTGTTTTTTGTGTGCCGGGATGGTGGGGACGTCGGGGGAAGTGCGCGGGAGACTTGCCGATGCACGCGGTGTGGTGCTGCGTGAATCCCGGGGGACACTTGCAGGTGAAGCCTCCGATGGTGTTCACGCACAGGAACTGGCAGTTGTGCTGCTTGCTGGCACATTCGTCGAGGTCTGCAAGCAGCGGTGAATAAACGACCCGATTACTCAGGCGAACTGTTGATTGCAAGAACACGTTTCCTGAAGTGGCTATCAAAGTAGTGTGTTTACAGCTGAGCGGGTGTAATTTTAAACGACATCATTAACTGTGATTTCATTGCCGCCCCTTTTTGTTCTACTTCGTAACTCTTGTAAATGTTGAACAAAAATTCCAACCTCCCACCATGACCCCAGGAGAGGCATGCAGACAGATTTCCGTTACTGGAATGAAGCCGTGCTCTTTTATTAGTGTTACCCCCCGCCCCCCTTTCTTTATACCAAAGGGATTCCCACAGCTCTTTTTTAACGTGACAGAAAGCAGTAGTTTATATCCAAATAAACAACTGTTGTTGCTCGTGGGATACAATTCGAGAGTGTACTTTACTCTGGGCAGTAACTGCTTGCATTGTCACTGTGTGACAGACTAAACAAGTCTCTGATATGCCACCTTGGTCAGGGCAGTTTGAATTGGGACACCAGTGCACCGCTGCAGGATTCATTTAATCGGCATTAGGTTGTGCAATTCGAAAGAAAGAAAAAAACCCGTTGTCGAATATCTGTTGTACATTCAGTAGAAAATTTCAGTCACCGGATCATTTATTTGTGTATGCTGGCAAAATATAATACGACCTTGCAGCAATAAACGTAGTCAAATAAATAAAATGGCACGTTGTAGGTCAACACATACCATTTCAGAGAAGTGTTGGTTTACATTTCATTTATTGCCAGTTCCATTTCCAGGGATTAAATTGAATGTTATGCAAAACATGTCAAAATCCATGTTAAAATCACACTTTATTATGAGCGCTCAAATTATTGTTTGATGTAATTGCAGCCGATATGATGAACGTTTATTCGCAATGTTAGAAACTAACGTGTGGCTATTTGTATGATGTAAATAGGCAGCCAAAAAAACCTCTGGACCGTTATTTTGTTCTCTCGCAAGTGACAATAAGAAGGAAAAGTTAATATGTATTGCAAAAAGTATCATCCATATTGGACATTCAACGTTTTGCTCTTCCTTGCCATTTTTGTAGAACATTCCTCTGCAGTCCATCAACACACGGGCGGGGGGTAAGTAAAAACAAATACCTACTGGATGCCTGTGACGGTTTTATCAAATCATTGTTTTTGTTTTCGTTGGTGCTTGCATATTTCGTAAACTCATTTGATTTAAACGGTGTGACAAGCACGCAGACCAATTAAATGCTTTTCCAAGAGATTGCCAATGTACATTTGGGCAGTTGGCAGGGATTTTAATGTTTTCTTTTTCCCCCTGAAATATTTAACTGATAAGTGTTAACAGGTTTTCAATCCAAAAAAACATTATGTAGAATGTGTGTAATGCACTCTAATTCTCTGTGAAAATTCTGACGGTGAAACATTCTGTTTATTTTAAATGAAGAATTGTTTGTCTTTGATTTTCACATGCATAAATCACTAATTTAGACTTTGTTAAAATAATAAAAAATATTTTTTTTGGAATTGCATAACGCTTTTATATATATTGGCCTTTTCACATTTGTAAAACATTAGTGACCAATTAAATCAATGGCACACAAATGGCATATCAGCTGAAGGATATGAATTCTTACAACGGACGCTCACTTTAACACAACGGATTTGAAATAATGCCGACGTTGGTGATGTAACATTACATGTGTGCCTGTACATGTGGGGAGTGGGAGTGTGGCGGTTAGCGTGTTGCACTACGAACTCGGTGACCAACTCATGGCCAACACCGGTGACGGTTATTTGGTGGTTTGGCGTCGTGCTGGCGACCCACCACCTCATGTGCTGTGCCGGCCTTCATAAGTGCTTTCTAACAGCACTGGCCCCAACAGTCTGTTCAGGCTCTATGGGGGATTTTAGTTTTTTTTATATATATGGGTAGATGATCTGACCTCTGCATGTCCTGCCGTCCTCCTGCATGATGTAACCACGTGGGCAGGCGCACTGGTAGCTGCCTTCTGTGTTCTTGCAGATGAAGTTGCAGGGCTTGGGCGATTGGGCACATTCGTCCAGATCTAATGTAAAAGCCGCAGGTCAGCGGCGATGCGGAAGAGGAACACGTCTTGAGTCAAAAAATAAAAAATGCGAGTAAAATTGCACTTATTTGGCAACATTATTTGATTATAGAACAAACACAGCTCTGATGTGCTTTTGCAGTTGTTCCGCTTGTTTGCGGTACAACCAGCAAACACATCAGAGAGCTATACAGCACAACCGCGAAAGCCTATGCAGTACCACAAAAAATATTGGCAGTTTGCAACTGATCGGCTCACTTTCTGCCCAATATGTGCAGAAGATCATGCGTGTATTGGCCCACAATAACACCTACTTTCACAAAAACACTACATATGCCATGTTGCGTATTGACTTGTGCAAATTTTGAACAGATTTACGAATTACTTCTCCACAATAGTTTTACTTTAGAAATCAACAAATCTTAATTAATATCCCAAAAAGAGCATTTTGCGAATTTTATTTATATGCTTCTTGTAGGCATTTCCTTTCCACATATTCTTATGTATAATTCTACAAGACAAGAATCTAGCTACAAAATTACAGATTCCAATTGTGTTTGTGGACATTTATAGCAGGCCAGTACATGTAGACATTTATATCAGGCCAATACTTTAAAACCACGTTTCCAAATACGGAGGGAAAACCCAGAAAACTCGGAGAAAAATCCATGCAACCCCAGGGAAAACATGCAAACAAATATACAGCAGGCGTCAAGGTCGGGAATGGACCCACAACCTCCTGCATACCAGTTGACGGATTTAACATTTCACCACCGCAGCGCCAAAAAAACCCCACCACCAAGACAGCATCGAGAGGACTTCACACAGCACTTTAATCATTATCATATGCACTTGGCGTATATGCCAAGTGCATATGATAATGATTATGAATCATCATCAGGTGTGAAAACCACAGCAAGAAAATTTAAAAAAAAGAAACTTTTTTTTTAACGTTAGCACCACGGACAGCGATTTGACAGTTATTCAGATGGACGAGTCCATCTATGTTCGGAAAAGAGGAGGGGGGAGACGAAAATAATGGATGCGGTCTGAAAAACACCGTAAGCGTGAACAATCAATTAAGACCCGAGATAGTTTATCAAATCCTTCCAATGATTGCTAAGTCAGAATCCATCTTCTCGGTTAAAATTGTATCTGTGTTTGTATATGTGGATAGCCTCATGAACGAATCTCTCATGGTAGCCAGATGGCTTGCAAAGAACCTCTGTCTTGGAGAAGTCAATGTCATGTGAGCCTACTGCATTATAACAATGATCTGCCACGGCCGAGGTGTTGGTCCTACCGTGTTTTAGGTCTGCTTTGTGTTCACGAATGCGGTCCGAGACAGAAAGAACCAATAATATGAATCCCTGCAGTCATGAAAGCTTTAAATCAATACATAAACAATTTCAACATTTGGACGCAACTAGGAGTGCCCAATGCAAAGTTCTTGAATGACATCATGGACGGAGATAAATGCAAGGCCACGATCGCTGACGCCTTTGAAAAAAGGACATTGCACATCAATATAGAGAGAGGGAGGACGTTGTTTGAAGTGATGTGAATGGGTACGTACCCACGCAGCCCGTGCGGGTGATGTCGGTTGTGTAGCCGTTGTTGCACATGCAATGGTAGGAGCCCTCGCTGTTGATGCACTGCCCGTGGTGGCACATGCCCGGCATCACCGTGCACTCGTCGATGTCTGCAGCGCACAGGAAGAGTTCTCACGCATCTATCGTGTCACGTGTGTGTGTCACGTGTGTGTGTCACGCATTCCTGCACGGTTGGCTATATACGGTACGAAAGAAGACAGAAGACCAACATATATACTGTACACACATTCGCTATTCATTTCATATATATATTAGGTGTGCAGAAATATATGATCCATATTTAAAAGATATAACTTAGCTGTTTGATTTAGGTCAATAAAACGATATACTAGCAAGGTTGGTAGTGTGAAGGTTTTATCATACGAGTTTCATTCCTAGTGACATGCATTGTAGCTTAATTCTTAATGATACCCTTAACAGTGACAGTTAATTGCATTGTGAGGCCTAGAATCATTACTGGCCTAGTCAGTGCACATCTGTAAAGGAGACATCTGTATAGACAAATGTAAATTCTGCACGTGTTAACCATCTTTGTATTCTGTGCCCAAGTCAACTGCGCACATTTTCACAATTGTCATACTCATTCATTAAGAGCTAGCTGTATGTACATCATCCACACCTTAGTGCGGGTGTGTGTCCATGTCTAGTCTATGTTAATTATTGTAGTTTGATGATAGAGCTAGTGCTCCAGTTACATTGTCACAACTGAATTGGCTGCACCGCATATAAACTAAAAACTATATAAAACTAAACAATTTTTCATTTTACCAGCTAAGGCCCACTGAGCTATGTGGCTCTTTTTCAGAAGCGACCTGGCCACGTATGATAGCTAAACGAAGTGGCTTATCACGTGGAAATGTATGGCAGCCACATACTCAAAACGCATGTTTGTAAATGTGGAGGCAAAAGCCGGAAGACCCGGAGAAAACTCCACGCGACCACGGGGAGAACACGCAAACTCCAAATATACAGGCGTCCGGGTCGGCATGGAACCCACGACCTCCTGCGTACCAGGTGAGGGAGATAACATCTCGCCACAGTGGCACCCCTATAGAAAAGAAAAAAAAACCGACTGGCATTGAAACAGGTCGCATGAGCAGTCCAGCGAGCTGCTCACCTCGCCCGTCAGTGGTGTAGCCGGGACCGTGCGGGCACAGCTTCTTGTATTGGGCAGTGCCCGGCAGCGGGCAGATATCACACTGCTGGCCCCAGCCGCGACCTCCGTCGCAGCAGCACTCGGACTTCGTGACGAGGTTGCGGCTGCTTGACACCATCTGGCAGAGCGACTGGATGACCTCCGTGAAGCAGAAGCCTCTGCGGCTGTCTGCGCACGGCAGCCGGGCACATCGCGCGTGCGCGTATAGGATTAGCGGTGGCGGTAATTGTCGTCGGCAGAGGCATGACCCGCGCGATGAACAACGTCTGTGGAATGATTTATGATGTTACGGAAAATGTATTTGGTGACAGTGCTTTGGCAGTGGTGCACGATCACACGGAGCCAAAAGGTTAAAACACTGGTCAATAACTCTGCCTTAAAAGAATAAATATATAAGAGGTGATGTTTCTGGCAATGGCCCTTCCTCATAGCACATAATATACAACAGCGATGCAAGGTACAATAAAACAATTACAAATTCCGAAATCCTGACTCGTTTATGACTCAACATGGCCAGTTATTTAAATTAACTGCATCACCCCCCACTCCGACACTGCCACCCCTCCCACTGACCCATAATAACTATTGTGGTGAAGTATGGTCAAACAACAAACTCCATGATCAATGCGGTGTGGGGGGGGGGGAGGCCTTGATCCAGAGGTTAAAAATGACACGTCGGAAATATTTTAGTGATTCAATTTTTGAATACAAAACATGCAATGCATTTGGGATAACACACCAAAGGGGGATTATGATAGGATCACATGTCACTGGGGGGGGTGCTTTCGTTTTTCCTGTCTTTTACTTACTTCAACGCTTCAAGGAAAACTAATGAAACAAAATAAACCACCACGGGAGGACTTTGCGGTCAACAACAGACTGAGAACGGCAAACAAATGCGATTTTTTTTTAACTTTTGCTCAAATTCATATTATTATTGCAAAGGGCCACACATACAAATCTGTCATCAAGTATTCTAATTGAATTTGTGTGAAGAAACTGGATACCCCATGCTTAAGTAGACAACAAGATACATTCCTTTACGGAATGTAAATTTCCTTTCCGTCTCATTTCACTGACACATGATTAAACCCGATACCTAAAATACATTTTTGGGAGTGGTGAAGGTGCCAAAAAGCTGCAGAATTTATTTCCCCCTTTAGAAATTCAATATCAGTATATATGTTGAACTTCTTTCGCACCGTACGTAGCCAACCGTGCTAATCGGAGTTTGCAGTGGCTTGATAATACAACAAGGGGGGGAGTGGGGGGGGGTGCGATCCGGTGGTTCAGAGGCTGCACGATGAACACAGCGAACACACGTTTGATTCTCAGCCATGACGAATATCAGTGGCGAGTGATATCCGACTCGGTACTACCCCTCCCGCCAGGCTGCCACTTTGCCAACCCACACTGACCAGCGTGATGAGGTATGGTCAAAGAGCCCACATGAATGACATGGCTTGAGAAGGCCTTCATCCAGCAGTGGAGTTACAAAGCACTGTACGTTTTTATTGTACTGTAATCGTAGGAATTGACGTGCAGTTAGGTTTATACGTGCACACGTGAAAATGCTTGTTTTCTTTTCCTATCCTTAGCAGTGGATGTTGCCAGGTCCATAAGTTTAAGTGCACTGGTTCTTTCACAGCTTCATTGCTCCAGAGGCTGAGTGTAATGAAAATATTCTCAGGCTTTAATCCCACGCTGTCTTGCAGCCTTGTTGACTGAATGACTGCGTGCTCTGTGAGGGTTACTTAGCTGCAATGACCTCCGGCTCGTCTAGATTTATGACCCATGATCCATCAGCCATGAGAAACCTTGGCTCTCTCGCCATTGCACAAACCAAGATACGCCACTCTGAATGTGTTGATCAACACCCCTTGCTAAACGTATAAACATAGCACCATAATTATTGTTGCATGCTTACCGATATTTTATTTATTAGTGCCCTCCCTTCAATACCAGTCACGTTGCTTACGACCAAATATACTAACATACTGTGTGTAATACATATTTTAAATAATATTGCGTGTAAAGAGAATGAAAACTGCTTCATTCCACATCCTTTCTCAAGAAGTTGGATACACCATCAGATTATTATCCAATTATTTGAAATTCCGAGGAGTTAGTATGATTATAAAAGTTATTTGGACGTACTCTGGACTAGATTGGCAATCGTTTGTTTAGGCTTACGTATAATTATTGTGCACGCTTATTGTATAAATGCGTGAGTTTTTCTTTATTTATGGCACAGTGACTGGATGACCTCCGGTGTTAGACCAGAGGACGCCAAAAGGCCAAAAGGCCAAAAGGCCTTTTGGCGTCCTCTGGTCTAACACCCTTTTGAGACTAGACTCAAAATAAAGCTGTCTCTGGTATGGACCAATCAGTTTCAGAGACAATGCATTTATTTCGATTTAAAGCTTTCGTGACTGCAGGGATTCATCTTCTTGGTTATTTCGGTAAAGTCACATAGAATGAAAATAAAATAATAAAAAATAATATTTTATTTTATTATGTTTTATTTGTATTATTTTATTTCCATTCTACGTGACTTTACCGAAAAAAACCAAGCAGATGAAGGCATATATTATCAGAGTATGTTGTTTGTTTGCATTCTGACCACAAATATTGTGGTTAATGCAGACATGATTCCCTGTAAAACGTTTCAGTTTGGTGTTTTAACAACTTAACACCTGTTTGTTGCCAGAAAAAAGGGGAAAACCTACATTTTAAGAGATAGACCATTTTTTTTTATCCAATCTCAAAAATTGGACCACAAATCAAGTAATACATTTGATGAACATTCTTCAAACACTATATATTCCAAAATAGGTATATATTGCATAATGTGACTTTGTTTAAGTATTATAGATAAGGGTCTTTGAGTACTATGGTTAGCAAACTAGATTTTCAATACAGAGGTCACCAATTCTAAACAATGGTAAAGATTCTTACCCCCCCCCCCCCCCCCCACTGCTCCACCGAGCACCATAAATGGGTACGCCACCGATCAGGCCACATGTGGTTGGGTAAAGTGTTGGTACTTTGACCGCTTCCAAGACATCTGGCAAAATGCCCTCTAGAGGGGTTCTCGAGAGCTTGCTGACCCACCCATACCGGGCATCTTTGAAAAAAGAGCTTCAAAGCTAATAGGATTTATCCAGTCTAAGTAAAAATTCTGATAAAGAGCTCTCTCTGGTGAATGCCCTTCCACCAACAGTGGTGTAAGCAAGCGATTGCAGGGCTGCACATTTACCTTTAACTATCTATATATATAAAAGTAAAAAAATTGTGTGTGGGTTTGTGGGTTTGTGTGTGGTCACACGCTTGGCTCTCCAACGATGGGGTTTACGTTAAAAGAAAATAGCCAGGTACCACCCCGTAAGCCCCGTGGTGAGCAAGCGCTATTCCTTTTTAATCATCCGTCAACTTTAAATTAGTTTAATTATCGATTTAGTGCGGGGGGGGGGGGGGCCCGCCAAGTCGCACGCCTTCGGTGGGAGTGAGGGGGGCAATTTCTTTCGCGTTAAAAATGCAAAAAAAATACACTAAACGCCGACGTTAATTCTTCACTGTGTGATGTCCCCCCCACCCCGATGCGTGCAGTTGTTACTACTATACAGTCGCTAGATGCTACCACTATAGGCCGTACATATTACTGCAGAGCGGCCGGGGAGATCGTGGCTGGGGGGGAGGGGTCAGGGGTAGCAGCCCAGCCTGCCTAGGCGCCACCTCGGCCGGCTGGACAATCTAGGCGAGGCCGGAGGCTCTGCACGGGACTCGGCCTCGCCTCACCATGCCACTCTGTCAGGTGAGTACTTTGTGCTATACAGTCGATAAATACTGCTATAGAGTCAGCATGTACTACTGTAGTGATAGCAGGTACCACCACAGTCGGTATGCACTGCTGTAATCATAGCAGGTACCACCACAGTCGGTCTGCACTGCTGTAATCATAGCAGGTCACACCACCGTCAGTACGCACTGCTGTTAGATTTTTAAGAGTAGTTTTGAAATATTTTTAAGACACGGGCAAAGCAGGGTACTTCCCGCTAGTATTTAATAATTTACAACCTTTGCTTGTCCCGGGCTCTTAGCTTGTAAAGTATCCTTAATTTCTCATGTGTCCCACTGCCTTGCCAAGTGACCAAAAGTGTTGGCAAATGACCCAAATTCTTGCCCAATGAAAGGCAGTGTGAGTGAATGTTAGAACTGATCACCAAATTTGAGACTTATGGTCTTCCTTTTGTAAACTATTCCACAGGAATGCAAGAGCGACATACGGTTCTGTGAACAGTTCTGCATTCCTTTCAGTCTCACAGTCATCTTGCGAGTAACGAAAAGAGAATCTGGATACCAATGGTATAACATCTACCAGCCATGTAAATAAATCATTGAGCATCATTGAAAAAAAAATATTTCCTTTTAAAAAAATGCCTTTTTAAAACAAAAACATCATAGGCTATGTATGTGAAATATGTACTGTCCTTAAGGCAAAGTCAATTGGAGGGTTGGAGGAAAGCCAACCTGGTGTTGGAATGTGTGAGGAAGTATTTAATAGCATGAAACACTATTCCTTCGGGACAGTTTTTTTTACAAGATAATTGGTCATTTAATTTTATAATACACAATTTTAAAATACAAGATTAAGCCGTCTCTCGAGCTCACACGGAGCTGTTTTCTGACTGTTTTTTTTCGAGTCAGAAAAAAAACCTGGACGGGACGTTCAAGTGATTTTATGTACAAGGGGATTTATGGAAGACAGATGAGTGAGGTGAATGTTTACGTGACAGGCGAGGATTAACGATGGATATGGAATTCGAATGTGTTTGCGCTGCCCTGTCACAAGGGAGACGTTTGCCTGACTGAGGAAAAGGAAATAATATTTTCTTTTTCTACCCAAGCCTAAACTTTTTTGTTATTCAGACTCCCAAGCACATGCCAAACATTGTTACGGTTCACCAGCTCACGGCCATTTGCGAATGTTGCTGCAAAACAAATTAACGTATTTATATTTTTAAAATATACTTTTAGTTTGCAATTGTTGTGAAGAGGTTAGTATGTTTCCTATAATAAGAGCACGGGAAAGGCTTCATCACTATTTTACATATTCCAACGTTGCCTGTTGTGCTGTGAATTCATCAATGAAGAATATTTCTCAAGCACTCTGTGCAAGTCACAAGAGACCAGGATCGTCTTATTTGCAAGAGTTAGTCATCAGTCTGCCAGTAGGGGCGATAATTCACATGCACAATCCCAATTGAGTAACTTTAGTAGAGGGTGTTTAATGGTGCACCGATCCATCGAGGAATCTACATTTTTTTACTCATTTAATCGCATCTGTAAGAAACAATGTTTTCCTGCTCATATATATCGTACGCAATGAGTTCACATGGACCCCACAGCCACTCGAGGTGCTACCATTCACTGTGCTGTACACGTTAAAAAAAATCTACTCTTGAATTGACTGTGAATCACGACAATTCATCGAATCGCTGAGGTACACCCTTTAATAAGCACGCTACTACTTTGAAATATAAGCCAGGAAGAAACCCCAAATGTATTTCTGAACCAGAGTGTTTTAAAATATGTAAAACAATCAGTGAAAGTATCACAATCCAAAGCTTTAGTTTTCATTAATTCTTGACACTGATATATCGTGGCACTGCTGTGTTGTTCCTTTGTTGAGCCTCACGAGACCCATCGTGCTTTGGATCTTTGAAGGCCGCGTAGACAAGAGGAAACCGATCTGGATCCCTTCCTCTAACTCTGTCCATTACCAATGGAAATGAGCCGCAGTGAAAGAGCCACAAGCGCAACTTTAGACAACAGAAAGAAAAAAAACCCTCGCATTGTGCAGGTCTTACCGACACACTCCGTCTCATCCTGGTTCAGGGTGAAGCCCTCGTTGCAGACGCACTTGTAGCTGCCAACGTTGTTGATGCAGCGGCCGTTCTCACAAATTCCAGGCTTCAGGCGGCACTCGTTCTCGTCTGCAAGACAGTGCGCAGCACGGCGCCTCGTCCCGGTGAATGGAGGAATTCGAGGAGCAAAAGTGCAGGTCTAACGTGGCTGCCAGCACCAACATTTTCCAATAACTTACCTTTTGTTTTAAGACATCTGCATCTCACCCAGTATTAACGGAGGAGAAAATAAAAATAAAACATCGTTGTGTGTCTCTCAAGTTGCTTGAGATTTTGATTTTAAAAAAATATATATACACACACATTGCGTGGAACGCTTTGTTCATATCGTGCTGTGGATCTTCAAAGGTGTGGCAAAGTTAAGAGTCTCCAGTCCCAGTGGTTACATTTTAAATATCTCATAGTTTCTACATGATGATAGACTAGAGTTTGCCACCTCCGCAGAACAAACAAAAAACCCGTGACATATCAGGAGAGGAAGAATATCTCACGAAAACATAGAGAGGAGAGGAGAACTATGTGTGAATGCACAGAGGATGATCCTGGGAACGTAGGACAAGTGGCAACCCTTGGAATAAAAATGTTGAGTCCTCCTTGCCGATTCTAGATTTAAAGCTTTCGTGACTGCAAGGATCCATACTCTTTGGTTCTATTCGGTAAAGTCACGTAGGTAAAAAATAAAACAACAACAAAAAATCAAGACGTTTCGGCCACAACACAAGCGGCCTTCATTAGGTGAAGGGAGCAGACTACCCGACGACTCAGCTATAACAAAAAGTTGCCCTGTGCTCTCCAATCGTGAAGCTCAGACTTAAAGTGTCCATTTATTTACTCCTGAAATCAACACCCCACAATACACAACGATGTTTGCTTAGGCTCTTCATCCTTACCAATGCAGCCTTCACCATCGGGCCGGCGAGTGTACCCAGGCGGGCAGATGCACATGTAGGTGCCAATGAGGTTCTTGCAAATCATGTTTCTGGATGCGCAGTTGTCAAGTCCTTCTTCACACTCATCCTGGTCTGTGGGTGAAATGGGACGAAGATGTTTCATGGAACTCAAAGAAGAGGGAGCCAATGACAACGAGAAGAGAAAAACGCAATTCCCTTCCTGAGAAACATTTAACCAAATTATCCACGCTGGTCATATCAGGCTCCAATATTGGAATATAATAAAACAGTCTCCACTGCAAGTGAGCTGCCAGTTGACCTAAATTAACCGTACCAATTGCAGCGATGACTTTGCAGGGACCACAGACAGTGTAGAAACGTGTGGACACTGCAATAATATCTGCCCGTGATTATGCTCTTATCTGCAGGTTTTTAAACTCGGCGTGTATTAATCTTTTGAATAATACGAAGATGAATCGTATATCACCGGTGCGGTCACCAGGGTAAAAACCATAACGTACCCTCGCATGCCCTTGTTGGAGCATACACATATACAGCAAACCCGACCCGAACATTTCGTCAGCAAAGGAATTCGGTAACTGTATTGTTTGTTTCACCATTTTTTTTTATGTATATCAATGGCACAGATTCGTTCTGCAACCATTGCCTGTTCACCGCAGTGGGCCCCACTCTTGAGCAGGCACAGGGGCTGAAAGCCGCACTTGCATTCCTCCTGCTTAATGGACCCTGGGCATGCCACCAAACTCCGCGGTGTCTCCTCCCACCTTTGCACATGCGGCGATCCTCGCGCAGGACGTAGCCAGTGGGACACATGCACTCGTAGGATCCGAAGTTGTTGACGCAGCGGAAGGCGCACAGGAGAGGGTTCAGGGAGCACTCGTTCAGATCTGTGGGTGTTCGCAAAGAGCCGCGCAACCCGCCGTTTGAACCGGGCGGTAATTTACGACAATCTTTGAAAGTGGCGCGCGACAAAGCCATAAACCGAGGGCCTTTAGAAAGCTGGCATTATGTGAATTTACTTTAGCGAAACGATTCCCACATGAGCTGAGCATAAAGGAAAGCGCTGGCCTGAATGCTGTTTTTTTGCATTAAACCGTAGCGCTATTTAAAACAATCAGATAATCCCAAGGAAGCCATTACAGACCACAAGGGCCTTACTCTCTAATGTCTCCAGCAGCCAAACATTTTCAAAGGAATCAACATCAAAAGTATTTTTGTTATCGAGTTTTCACACTGTAGGACATAATACAAACTAGGTCAGTTTGGTTCAATAAAGGAATATGTTGTAGCAAAAATTATGGGAGTCAGTTCAGCAGGTTTTAAATAAAATAAACATCAGTTTGCCCTTGACTTTATAAGGGCACAAACCGGGGCTTAATTTTTAACTGGATATTTTCCTGAAAAAAGGCTGGCTTGGAATAGGGCATACGGATGTAAGGCACTACCACTACAGTACATCGTATGCCAATTCATAGCAGTGCTACGTTATCTGCAGCTTATATTTCCATAATCCAATGAGGGCAACGTAAGTATGACAAGGAAAAATGACGGGCGGCAAGGTGGACGTAGAAAGACAAAACAATTCCCAAAAACAGCGTGACGGGCATTGTTCTGACCTTCACAGGTCATCATGGGTCCCGGCTCGAACCCATCGTCACACGTGCACTCGAACCCTCCGGGCACGTTCAGGCACGTGCCGTTGCCGCATGGGTTCCCAATGGAGCACTCGTTCGCGTCTGGGAACAAACGCAGATCGGTGAGAGAGTGCGGTGGAGGAAAAAAGGCGTTTTTGAGACAGTCCCTGGATGGAACTGCAGAAGGAGAGGTTTGTGAGGTAAGAGCAGAGCCAGGAGAGAAGTTTGCCAGGGGCGCTTACACAGTTTTGGAGATGCTCGAGGAGGACGGATTGGTCTGTGGTTTGAAAAGCAGCAGAAAGGTCACGAAGAACAAGAAGTGTGAGTGATCCACAATCTGAGCAGAGAAGAAGGTCATACAAAAAGAGGTGTAACGAACGATCTGCCACCTGCACTCTCCCTGCAAATCCGGCGATTGAATGCGTTCTCATAATCCAGGGTTCTGATTAAGAATCAAGCATAATTTCTGCTTTCTAACATTGCAGTGAATGTAGCCCTGCTAGGGCTGCAGGAAGTCACGTGCACCTATTCGTGAATTGAAAAAGATGAATTTGCGATGCGATATATGTATTGTGAGCTTGATCATTTATGCTAATGCCTGAATTGTCACTGTACTGCACTCAAAGCATAATTGCATTTATTGGCAGACTAGTATACGTCATTTATAACCTACAATGGACGTATATTGCCATGCATAAAATGCCAAATGTTTCGGAGGACTACTCTATATTTTCTACTTTGCCAGACTGCTTAGTGTACCAGCAGATGCTACCTTCAAACAAAATGCATGAGAGGGCTTACATTTGCAGATCAAAATAGCACATAAAATGCCTGGTAGTTTGTTGCAATATTTAATTAAGAGACCTTCAAGAGAAACATTCACCGATTTAGGATGTCCGCACATTTAGCTCCAAGGTGTACTTGATGAGATGTTTAAGGTACGCGTTTTATTTAGAAGCCACCAAAGGTCCTAAAGCTAAACAGAGCTGTGGCGCACGGAGCCCCGACATTCGGAGATTTCCAGGGCGTGATCTCTCTACGTGGAAGTGGGCAGTTACGTATCAGCCACAGACATCGCTATTTCAAAATTTATTTAAGTTTTATTTTCCTTTCGTAAATTGCATTATACTTTTTGTTCAGCAAGTCTAATTGCCTTCCATTATTTTAAAATCAGTTAAGTCCAAAAAAACAGAACTCACGTTAAAAACTAAACTTGTTTTAAAACGCGTGTACTACATTTTCTCAACTTCTTGGCTAAATTTTGATTTAAAGCTTTCGTGACTGCAGGGATTCATATTCTTGGTTCTTTCGGTAAAGTCACGTAGAAGGGAAACAATAAAATAATAATAAAGTCATGGAATCCGCCAAAAGCTGGCTGGGACATTTTTTGCACACTTCCTAACAATCACTGGCATGGGTCCAACTCTGATCACATTTGTTAATCTTGATGCCTTGGCGCACGCACGGACCGTGCTTGGCAGAGCCTTCCTTTATTATAGGAGACGTTAAAGTACTCAGGGAAGTAGACCTTATTTATTTCTCACAGGACGTAGGATTATGGGAACAAAAAGAGGAGTAAACGTCTTTTTAAAGTACAAGACGGTGTTGCTTTAAGCAGGTGACCAGCCACAGCTGGGTAACAAAATATAAGTTTGTGCAAAACACTCTGCAGCGAAAGACATTCACTTCACGGCACTCTCTTCTCGGCCCGTAACAATGTTTCAATGAAATCGCCTGATGACGATTGCTTGTGTTGCGATCGAAACGTCGTGTTCTATTATTTTTTTATACCCACGTGACTTTGCCGAAAGAACCAAAGAGTATGGATTCCTGCAGTCACGAAAGCTTCAAATCAAGATTAAAATGTATTATTTAAATTCACGACACGTACATCAGAGTGTGCACATATGAATTCATTTGTTTTGTTCATATCTTTTTTGGGTAATGAGTTCATAGGACTCCGGCAGCCACTGGAGGCACTGCCATTGCGCCACAGTTCCAAATACAAAGAATATATTATTGAATCGTCGAATGAAATCACGATCCCAAATTGTTAAAGGTCATAAAACCACGAGATGGGTGGGGAGAGGGGCGCAAAATTGCAACAGCTCCACTCCCATTATATTTCAAAGGCAGCATCGTCCGCCAATGTGCTCCATGCGTCCTACGTGAAAGGTCCAAAGAAACCATTGCATTCGCGGGAGGTAAATAGACGGCTGCCTGGAGGGAGGGAGGGAGAGAGAGAGAGAGAGACGACGACTTGGCTGCCCGTGGCCGCACTGTTCGCACGAGTGTTATCTGGTGGCATCGCGTACTGACCCACGCATTTGAAGCCCGCCGCCTCGAGGTTGTAGCCCATCGGGCAGTCGCAGCGGAAGGAGCCGTCTGTGTTTATGCACCGCCCGTTGGCGCAGATGCCCGGGTTGGCAAGGCACTCGTCCAGATCTGCGGAGCGAGAGGGGAGTAAAAGGCACATGAACATTGCGGTCGAGATATGCCTTTGGCAAAACTTTCCAGATATTGTACCAATGTAATTGGCCCATTTTGATCAGTTATTTGTGCTAACTTTCTTTCTCTCTTTCTTTGTTGGTGGTGATGGTCGTGGTGTTTTTGCAACGCATTTATCTTTTAAGAAGCACTTGCCTTCTCGGCTGTCATCTCGGCCAACGACCGTTCCAGGACCGTATGGGCAGAGCAACCTGTAGGCCTCCTCTGTTGAGTGTGGGTGAGAAACGCTGCCTGGTTAGTGCACATTCTGAACGCCACGTCGGGGATTGTGAGCACATTTCACATTTATACTTGAAAAAGTATCATTGTGCATTCGTGCAAGAGCTCTGTAAAAATACCTTGTGCTTCGTTTTTCAACACTCTAGCCGTGAATTACATTAATGACATGAATGACTTTACGTATAAGAAAAACCATGAAACACCATAAATCGTTTTCAATTTGTTCTCATATCTGTCCAGAATGTAGAGTATAAGCAAGGTTTTACATAGAGTTCAACACCCTTGTTGATTTAAGGTTAAGGGGTCCGTTGCTGATTTATAAGCAAAAAACCGCGTCAAATATATGTTAAACATGATCAAAGCAATGGGATTAACTTCGTAAAATTGGTAAAATCGACTTTAAGTATCGGCAGACGACCACAAAACACAAGAGCGGTGTAGAAGCATGGTACAGTACAATGTTGTGGGAAGAGGTTCTGAACCTTTCACGCAGACTCCCATTTCTCCTTCACCACACCCTTCCATATCAATTGGACTTCTTCTCTCGTTTGGTGGGAAGTAGATCAGCAACGTCTCTGTGTTTCTATCGATGCTGGTGTGCCATGTTCTTTAAATCGATGGCTTCAGGAATATGAGCAACCTGAAGAATATATATTCTTGGTTCTTTCGGTAAAGTCACGTTGAAGGGAAACAATAAAATAATCAAGTATATATAAAACAATAAAATTCTCACGACGTTTCGACTGTAACACAAACAGTCATCATCAGGTTTTCACATCATCAGGTTTTCACACCTGATGATGACTGTTTGTGTTACAGTCGAAACGTCGTGATAATTGTATTGTTTTATATATATTTTATTATTTTATCGTTTCCCTTCAACGTGACTTTACCGAAAGAACCAAGAATATGAATCACTGCAGTCACGAAAGCTTTAAATCAAAATTTCACCTGAAGAATGTCTAAAATGCTGCCAGGGAATGATCGGAGCGGGCAATGGTGTTGCTGGGTGGTTCTCGGTTTGAGATTGGTGACCACAGTCGCACTGTGGGCTATTCTTAATTGTCCGTCGGTGTACACACGCACGCATGCACGCACGTATGTATGCTGAACTTCTTTCGCACCGTACGTAGCCCACGGTGCTAATCGGAGGTGCGGGAGACGAACAACGAACTCAACAGATACGGCCACGCCTGCCATGGGGCAGACGTGGCCGTGGCCGTATCGAGTCAGCACAGGTCCAAAAGTGGGTGAAGGCCCGGGACGTGTCGGCTCTCTCCCAGCTCGTACCTTCGTTCTGTTTGGGGCACGGTTCACAGGGGTCGCCCCAGCCATCGCCTGGCATCATGCTGCAACAGCAGCCGGCTTTGCTGGTGTTGAAGGGCTTCGGGGTGGAGCATTTGCCCTGGGCAAACTCCGAGAAGCAGTAGTTGACGCGGACGTCTGTAATTAGATGCAATCATTCACGTGAATGCAGCCGAGTGGAGTTTCCAATGATACATGTGTACATTGATCTTCAACACTGATACGTAAACATCTTATGTATACTGCATATGTCTCTTGTGTATATATGTCTCGTGTGTACATATGTGTGTCTACATTGCCTTGGCTTAATTTCAGCTGGATATGCTTGGGGGTGAGCTCCTGAAAATGTCCCCGATCCCTCCCGAGAAAATATTCCATGAGAAAATTAAGTCCCATGCACGCCTACATAGGTCTTTTATATTTAGATATTAATTTCTCTTCGAAGTTTAATCTTGGTTTATTGGCTGGCATCCCATAATCTTTCTAATCTTGGTTCCATTAATGGGCACGAAAACATTATTCTGATCTGTTTCTGCTCCAGTTTGGTCATAGAAGTGGCTGCACGAGACTGACGGGTCACTGTGGAACCAACTTTTTTGCTGTGGAAATTATCATCTGTAAATTACCACTGAGCATAATTTTCCTTTACACAAGTGGCCAAAAAAACCACAGAACGTGAGCTAAAAAATATAAACATGGCTTCACTTATTTTCACATGTTAGGAAAGGACAAACAAACATTATTTGAAATATTAACAAGATTAACAAATTCCAACGATGGCTATTTTTGAAATGACTTCACAGTCTTTCACGCTTTAGTTAACTCGAGCGTATTCTTGCTTTACTTAAACCAAAGTATGGTCAAATGCGGATCAGCAATGCACGTGTCCATACCGTAGCACTTGCGACCAGTCTCAGAGAGGATGAAGCCTGAGGGACAACGGCATTCAAAGCTGCCGAATGTGTTCAGGCACGAGCCCATCATGCACAGGTCCTCCTCCGATGAGCACTCGTCAATGTCTGTGCACCACACACCATGGAGGGGAGAAACACACACCATGGAGGGGAGAAAGCAAGGCACGGCGACGATGAAAGCTGAAATCGGTTGTGAGAAGGGAGCCAACGAGATTGATTGTTTCCGCTCGTCCACACGGCTGTGACCTACGCTGTTGTACGGCGTAACATTTTCTCTTTCCCCTCGTCCCTTCGTGCTGCTCGACTCTGCAACTCCCTCTCATTGTCTCTTTCCCCAAGTTCATACGACCTTGCTCAATTCAGGAAACTTGTTGAGTCCTTAGGTAAATAATTAAAACTTGCACAGCCCGTTTGTCAATCCACTACCGGATAAAGGAATCTCAATCATTGTTTTTTCCTTCTCCATCCTTCACCCCAAAGGTCAGCGTGAAGCAGGGAGGCAACTCGGGATCAGTTCATAAATCACCCGCCACTAATATTAGCCGTGGCTGGCGATCTAACTCAGGTTGCTAGATTTTACAACACAGACTGCTGACTACTGCACAATTGCTCCTCGGATAATTCCCTTCCGCTAAACAAATCTTGAGTGCTCTTTCTTGCTGATCGTTTTGTAGTATAGGCCATTGGGCCTGCGCACACCAACTGTGATTTAAAATTAAACATGTTATTGAGGGCACTGCTGCATATGTGCTCTCACGGTTATGCCGTTGGAGCACTCTGTGACGTGTTTCACCTACATCACGCTGAACAGAATCAGAATATTTATTGATACTGGAGGAATCCGATGAGCTATAAAGCTCTTTTCACAGATGTCCATAAGGGGCGGGTAAGGACGTTACAACAACAAACAGTACAAAAACACGATAGTAGTGCAAAGTACAAGAAAGGTCAACAAATCACCCACACACACAAACAAATACAGCACTAAACCATCCACATCCTACCAGGCAAAGCCCCACTGAGGCATTAACTTATTTCTCAGAAGCGACTTGGCCACAAATGATGGCTCAACCGAGTCGCCCATCATTTGGACATTTACAATATCAATGCACGTTTCTAAATATACAGGCGTCAGGGTCGGGATCGAACCCCCGACCTCCTGCATACCAGGCGAGGACGATAACATCTCGCCACCGTGGCGAGACCAACGCGCGGTAACCACCCGAAAATACATTGTGGACATCGGTGCACTGTGGGTGTTGACCTTGAGAGGTCAGTGTTCTTCACCTGTGCACGCCTCTTCCTTGACCTCGTAGCCCGGAGGACACATGCACCGGAAGGAGCCCTCCAGATTCTGGCACGTTCCAGGCGCACACATGCCTCGGAATTGCTGACACTCGTTAATATCTGTAAAAAAACATACACATATATAAAGTCCGCGAGAGTATTAATTTTGTGTTCGGCATGCGGTGCAAACGGTTCGGCCGTTTTGATGTAGGTGTTTTGCTCACGCTACACGTAGACGATAAATCAACAAAGGAACTGTATATTGTTTAATTTGGGTTTCCGAGTACGATTAATGCGTAATTGTCAGACGCGAGAGTTGCTTCCTACAGATTAACATTTCATCGTTGTGCGTCCACATACCTCTGCAGTTCTTCTTGTCAGCGGTGAGCTCAAAGCCTTCGTTGCAAAGACACTTGAAAGAGCCCACGTTGTTGATGCAACTGCCAAACTTGCAGACGTGAGCAGCCAGAGAGACGCACTCATCCTTATCTGTCACGGCAAGGAGCAGAGAGAGAGAGAGAGACGTTTTTAGGGCAGAAAATAACAAACAAACTGAAAATTAAAGGACTCAAAAACGAAAATGGACAGATGTGCCAAAACGTTTTTTCCGTGTTTATGTAAGCGTGTTGTGATTAAATGGGTTTTTCACGTTTATGATAGTCTACTATGTTTCATAAACACATGGGTGGCTGAGTGGTTTCCCTTCAACGTGACTTTACCGAAAGAGCTAAGAATATTAATTACTGCAGTCACGAAAGCTTTAAATCAAAATTTAAAACCTATGGAAGATTTTTTTATTTAAAGCTTTCGTGACTGCAGGGATTCATATTCTTGGTTCTTTCGGTAAAGTCACGTAGAGGGGAAACAATAAAATAATGTGGTTTTCACACCTGATGATGATTGCTTGTGTTGCAGTCGAAATGTCGTGAGAATTTTATTGTTTTATATTTTTATAATGTTATTGTTTCCCTTCTACAGTACGTGACTTTACCGAAATAAATAAAGAATACCTATGGAAGATGTTTGGATTCTGAGGTTTAAGGGCTAAAAAAACCCTTCCCCTTGCATTTGGTTACTTAACTTTTCATCCATAACACAGATTTTTTGGGTTAGATCGTGTCATCATATTTATAAATGTGTCGTTAAACCCGCCACCACCCGACACAGCCAATTAGTAAGGTTTGTCACGTAAACAGAGCATGCCAATTCGTTACTAATACAGCACACCGGTGTGTTGGAGAGAAAAGCCACGCCACTGACAATCTGAGTACGACGTTTCGCCAGTAATTACAACTAGCTTCATTGGCGTTTAAATTAGTAACTCAACTTAAAATCGCTACGCAGTTATTGTTTAATCCTATTCTTTGGGTCTTTCGTTAAAGCCACGTAGATAGAAAGATAAAATAAATAAAAATCATGACGTTTCGATCGCAACACAAGCAATCATCATCAGGTGAAAAAAATAGCGCGAGAGCTGCTGAGGCAGGATGTTATAAGGTTTGAGATGGGTGCAGCCCAAGGGTCATAAACGAAGTGGGCGGGGCTAGTGGATAAATTTGCATGTAAATGTAAAATTTGAGAGTTGAGCTACCTACACGACGACGAAGCTGTGGAGGTGGCCATTGTATTGTGAGAGATTAGCATGTCAATGAAAGATCGTAGAGCCACCGCCACATCAAGGAAAACGAGCAACGGTGGCTGTGTTAGTGAGACATGTAACCTGTTAATGTAAAGACATTTAACCTGTTAATGTAACACCAGAGAGTCGAAAATAACTACTAAACATCACAGCCAGTTATTACTTAACCTGGTTAATAACGTCCTTCCAATGATTGCTCAGTTTGTACCCATCTTCTCAGTTGAAATTGCGTCTGTGTTTATATATCTGGATGGCTTCATGAACAAATCTTTGCTGATAGCCAGTGGGTTTGCAGAGTACCTTCGTCTTGGAAAAATCTATGTCGTGTGTGCCCACAGCATTAAAACAATGATCAGCCACGGCTGAGGTATAAGTCCTACCGTGTTTCAGTTCTGCCTTATGTTCACGAACACGGTCCGAGACATGTCGCTTAGTTTCCCCAATGTAACTACTGCCGCAGACACAGCTTAGTTTGTAGATGCCGGGTAATTGCATGTCAGGGATCACATTCTTCACAGATGGGATCAGATCACAAATTTTATGTACTGTGTTGAATCTTGTGTTTGCTCATGATTTTGGAAATATTTTTGGTGACCCCTGCTATGTATGGAAAGGCGATGGTTTTGATTGGTTCCTCAGATGGTTCTTTCCCAACGGTTGGGGTGATAGCTTTACGGATTGTGTAGTCTGAATATCCATTCGTCTTGAGGGCTTGGTCTACATGTTCCAGTTCACTGACTAGGTGGTGATGGTCAGAAATAGATCGAACTCTATGGTGGAGAGTTTTGATGAGGGAATTATTCTGGGATAGATAGTGGTGGGAGTCAGGTTTTAGGTAGGCATCCGTATGGATGGCTTTCCTGTAGACAGTGTCCCATTGAGCCATCTGGTCTCTTTTCGATTAAAACATCCAAGAATGGTAACTTGCCATCCTTTTCCACCTCCATGGTGAATTTGATGGCTGCGTGTATGGAATTGATGTGGTTGAAGAATTGGTCCAGAGCTGGTAGGCCATGTGGCCAGATGATGAATGTGTCATCCACGTACCTCTTCCAAAAGGATGTAGGGTGGATGCCTGGATGGCATCTGCCTCAAATTTTTCCATGAAAACATTGGCTTAATTCTACTTGTGAGGTTCAAAGACGTTTAATGAATGGACAAAAAGGTAGCCTCCTGCACTTTAGCCACAACTATGCACAGATAAACATTGTACGTGATGAAAACTTAAAGAAGACAGAAGTGATTCCCATGTAAACATGCTTCTGACTTCTTTACGTTTAATGCACTTTGCTTTTTAAACCATGATGATAGATTGTTTTTATTCAAACAATGTTTTTTGTTTAAATAATGCTAGAAAAAAAATTACAGAACGAGCATTCTCACGCCGGCAAAGCTTCAGCTATTCTGCTGCGGAAAGACGCGTCCGCGTTTACTCAGCCGTGTGCTTGGTGGAGAAGAGAGCGGGGCACTGCGCTTAAAGAACACACGCCATGCCCTCTTAACGCACAGCTCGTTGACACAACGACTTTAGACTCCCGAGCCCCATCCACCGTGAAGGATTTCGAGGAGGTAAAAAGAGGGGCACGGGGTCGGCGGCGGTCGTTCACCATGGAAATATCGTGCACGTGCGTTGACGACGTACCCATGCAGTCATTGTTTGCCGAAATCTCGAAGCCGGGGAAGCAGAGGCAGTTGAACGACCCCACCGTGTTCCTGCACGTGCCATTGCCGCAAGGTTGGCGCTCGCATTCGTCCACGTCTGATTGGAGTCGGGTGGAGCGGGGTCGTGGGTGGGGGGGGGGACAGGGTGGGTGGGGGAAATCATGGTGAACAAAGGAAAATTCACGTGTAGTAGATACACACACACACACACGCCCTTGTGTGTGACCGAGGTTTTAAGTGTTTGTTCAGCTGCAGAAGGTGACGTGTTGACATCAGCGGGGTTACCCATGCACATGTTCTGGTCCTCCGTGGCCTTGTAACCGTTGGGACACATGCAGCGATAACTTCCTTCCGTGTCCTGGCAACGCCCAGGGCTGCAAATCTCCGGCTTCTCGGAGCACTCGTCCCGGTCTTGAAAAGAAAAAAAAATAAAGAAGACAACGACAAGAATTAATGAAAGGTGTGTGACGTGCAAAGATTCCTGTTGGGCTTTTTTTTTTTTAGAACGCACAGCTCGGCGCTCGCCATCACCGGGACATCAGAATGCACTGGAGATGTCTGCACCGCACGAGACGTCGTGGCATCCAGGAAGACGACGATTTACAATTATGGTGCGAATAATGCTTCATGATAGTAAATAATACTTTTTTTACGGCCCCAATTTGGAACTAATCCGATTGGTGCTGCCAAAATTACGAATGCAGCAGAGACACAAAACAATGATAGCCAGGGGGGGGGGGGGGTTAACTTCTCAGAGTTCATATTATGACGCAGGGAACATTTAATGGCAACGTTTTTACTTGCAGTGCTGTTTAATGCCTGATAAATCTGAAGTTAAAGAACAGATGGCCAGTGTGTAAATGAGTAAGTAGTGACATAGTTGTCATGAGTGAAGCTGGCCAGATGCTTGTATTCCGATGCTCCGCAATTACTTGTTTCATCACTATTATGGTATTAAATGTTTTCTGGCTGACTGTACATGATACTCATAGCATTTTTTATTATTTGGTTTGTCATACTTGTGAATTGTTAATGGTCATCTAGACTATGGCCATATGGACGACAGAATCAAGTGCTTGCAGTGATCACCTACGAAGGCTGGTTATGCTACCACATCAGCTCAATATTCAAGGTTGAGTTGACAAAAATACAATCGGATATACATTGCCATTGAAGTTTAATAAGTCATAATAATTTAGTATATTTGGTAATCGTGTCATTCTTATAACACAGGGCTATCACAAAGGCAGTTGTGCACAGTCATAAATTGAACCCAAGTTGCTGGGACTGTAGCATGCACAAAGAGACACACACACACAGCTATAGGCAGACGTAAAGATATACCCACCTATGCAGAGACCAAATGGAGTCTGCGTATAGCCTGGAGAGCACTCGCATCGGTAGCTGCCAACAGAGTTGATACACTCAGCATTACGCTGACACATCTTCTCAGCACTGGCACACTCGTTGATGTCTGTGAAGGAAAATGCGCATTGGTGTTATTGAACAAATATTGATTATACTTAGCTTTCTTAGTACCCATATACGGGCCCATTGAGACGCATGATACATTGCCCGTTTTTGAAGGGTGACCTGGGTTATAGCAAGTAACAGAATTCACGAGTGATTTGTGGGTGAGATGGCGAAGTAAAAATGCATCTGTCATAAACCCTCTTTCACCCTACACAGCCAATTAATAAAAGTTGTTCCGTTGGCAAACGTGTCGATTTATTATAGCTTGAGCACACAGGTATGCTGTGGATAAATACGACATTTACATTTGGTAATATAAAGGTATACAGTGTATACTTGCACAGTGAAACAAGTTAGTCATGGTTAATTAGTTTCCCTCGATGGTTATGTTAGGTTATAATACATTACGTAAGATATTTTGAAGTTATGTACACATATTTACGTGGTGATCTGTTAAGTCACAGTTAATGTTTTATATTAAATGTTATAAATCTTATTACAATGCCGTGCTAGTTTATCAGGGTTGTCATGTGATCACTCATGATATATTTCTAAGCCATACTAATCCTATAGCCATCGACTTGGTTGAAATTTGTTTTTGTAATTTACCTCTCTTTCAATGGATGCTCTAATTAGTCTTCACCAATAGTAAGTACTAAAGTCACGTAGGTATGATAACTACGTGACTTTACCGAAAGAACCAAAGAGTATGGATTCCTGCAGTCACGAAAGCTTCAAATCAAGATTCACTAGTAAGTAGTTTTGCATAAAGCATCAAGGCCATCAAAATCAATCGGATGTTGTTGTTGTTAACAGCCATGTTCCCCAACAGCCGTAGTTTTGTGTTGTGAGTATTCGATGTTTCCCTTGCGTTCTTTTATTATCCCGCTAATATTTAATCCCATCTGGCCAACATAGCATTTATCACAGATTCAAACAATCTGGTAAACTCAATCTGTTGTTTTCTTGGATAAAGTTCACAGTTAAGAGTTGTTGTAATTTTTGTACGAAAATTCATATGGATTTTGTTTTTTCCAAAAATCTCCCCAATGTAACAGTGACTCCCGCAATATATGGGGAGTTTAATTGTTTTTATTGCATTTTAAATTTCTTCTCTTTTGTTCCACGATTTTTTTATTAACAGTCAATGCTCAGCGTTGATGTGTGAATTGTTGTATCCATTCAATCATAGAGCTCTTTTTTCGACTTGCTTCATTCCCCATCGCTCAGACTTTCAACAATCTGACACTCGTCGTACGCATGAATGATCGCTAAGCGTGTCCTGCAAGTGACGCGGTTTCGGTGATGCACAATGGAGGATGTGTTGAGACCACAGCGGTGGCAAGAGTCAGTAAATATGACGATATCTCACCCTCGCAGATGATCTGAATGTCGTTGTAGAGGAAACCCATCGGGCACTCGCAGCGGAAGCTACCAGGCAGATTGACGCACATCCCGTTGGTGCATATGCCCTGGATCTTGGAGCATTCGTCAATATCTGTGACGGTAAACTCAGATCGATTGCTTTGTATTCAAAGCATAATGCAGCCATACACACGTTGGTAAAAAATGTTGCGTGCCCAAGTTCGGTGGATCGTGCAGAAGTATAGGGAGGATAGAGCACTCACCAATGCGCTCGCCTGTATTGATATCAATCTCGTAACCAGGTGGGACACCTCCGCAGAGCTGATTGTGGGCCTCTGTAGGGTGAAATGTCTTGTTTACACAACAAAGTAAATTACAGGTGTATTTGCAGTACAACCACAGATAAGTGACCCATTTATTGTAGTAGTAGTAGTGGTAATAATACGTTATGTAACCAAATCATAAGCTCATTTGCTGATTTTTTGTCACCAGCTTGCAGCCAACTATTCTTTTCTCTCACTGGATCATTTCCCATTTGCTTAATGTCAACTCAAGTCTCAACAAACGTTATTAGCATGCATTTACAAACGCAGGTATTCAGTAACAATTGCAGTGTGGGTGTAACATCAGACTGCGTATCGACTTCCTATTTCAAACCTATTTTTTTATATCATCTTGGGACCTTTTTATTTGCCAGTATCAAAGTATGAGAAATATTAATATAGGTTTTACCTTTGCTGGAAATACAACCGCTGTGTTAAGATGTTCAAACACCAAATAGAAACCTTTTGCAAGGAATAAAGTTACTGCATTAACCACACACACTTGTGGTGAGCATGCAAACACACGCTCTGATAACAAACAATGCATATATAAGACAATGCATATATTATCAGAGCATGTTTGTATGCATGTACACGACAAGCATGTGTGGTCAATGCAGACTAGATTCCTTGCAAAAGGTATCTACAGTATTGGGTGTATGAACATCTTAACAACCTGTTGTATTGCCAGCAAAGGTAAAACCTATTCATATTTCTCATACTTTATCTATATTCATAGCCCTTGGGTCTTTCGGTAAAGTTAAGATTTATCAACATCGTTGGCCTAGAATTGTAGTGATCTATTTCCTTTCCGAAAGTAATACGATTCAGCATGTGGAGAAGAGCATGAGGATGGAAAACCCCCGAGATTAAAATGACTTGATTTATGAGAAGTAAAATCACGCAGTGGCCTCGCTCCATAAGAAACGAATTCATGATCACTTGCGCTGGAGATCTTCTGCTCCACAAGTGCAAGTGCTATAACATTGCCACCTAAATGCATAAAAGTTTGGCTAACGTGTCCCTTAATGTGTTAACCTGCCCTTACTGAGATGCCATATTGAGCTTCATTGGTCTTAATCCAAGAAGGTAGCTTAATTGATATTGCAGCCCACCCTCGGGAGAAAGTTTAGGGTCACTGCACAGCACTTGAGGAAGCCGTGTTGAGACATATATCTACCACGAGCCAAGGGGGTTGGTCAGTATCGTCTGTGGTGGCAAATGCGACCACTGTCCAAGATGGGCACTGTCCGTCATGAAAACTAAAACATATTAGCATATGTACTATATGTTCTATAGATGCTCTTTCTATATATTTTCATATTTCATAGATGTTTCATATCACACAGTTGTTTTTCTTCTTCTGAAATTGCGGTATATTGTATGGCAAACATCCTACATTGCCCTTCTTTAAGGAGCTGTTTTATAAATAGCAACTTTGCAATCATATATATTTGTGGTTTAGAGATGAAATACTCGTAAAAAAATCGTAAGGCTTTGCCACTCTGAGTGGTACCAATAAGTATTTTTTGGCCCAATGGTTCAAGGGCTAAATAGCTACATGCAGACAGCAGAATGGTGGTTGCATTACTGGTGGAGATGGTTGGGCAGGGCACACAGGGCCTGTTCCAGGCTTTTCCCACGTTGTAGCTGCAGCAGCACTCCTTCTCGGTCAGGTTGAACGACAGCTCGTTGTCGCAGCCAGCCGCGTCGTAGGTCTTGTAGCAGAAGCTTTTGCGCATGTCTGCAATGTCAGTTGCCGTGTTGAGAGACATCAGTTTGAATGTGCACCGAATTTGGTCAGTATTTACAAAAAAAATATCTCAAACATTTCCTTGATCCTTCCGTTTAAGATACAGTTCATTTGTCGAAGCAAAAAAAGATGGTTTGCAAGTAACAAGTGCTGTCATGTTATATCACAAAACCTCAACCCATTCATTCATACAACGGCCTATTCTTTATGGCAGTGTTATTGCCCTGTTGAAGGAAGCAGTTTTTAGGTAGAGTTTTTTTATTTGTGCTTGTGCAACACTGTCAACGTAGCTTCACAATGAAAGCCTATCATGTTATGGGTAATTTTTGAAAACTTTGCTTCATCCCACATCGAAGATATAAGTGATCTACCAATTAAATGAGCATGGGGTAGAGCTCATCTCCTGTTTACAACCATAGGCAACACTTCCACGTTCCTGTGGTGGTGACCAGTCTGTGCGTACAACAGCAAATAGTGAGGTTCCACGATAATTGGGGCTCGTTTTACAGACCCCAGAAGGATGGAGGGCAGCGTTGTCTCCCGCGCAATATTTCAACTTCGCAACCTTCCAATTACGAACTGCGCTGCCCGCCCTCGGTGCAAACACGTTTTGCTGAGCAACAACACCGCGCTGTACTCACCCATGCAGTTGTTCCCTCCATTAACCTGCATGTAGTCGGGTGGGCAGACACAAGTGTAGTTCCCGACAATGTTGTAGCAGGTGCCAGGACCGCACACCGTCGGAAAGTTGGCACATTCGTCGATATCTGAAAAACAACCCCGCCCCCGCGCAATTGAAACACATTGTCTCAGCAGATTTCAAATGGTGAACATCGTTGGGCTCGTGGGACACATGTCCGCTGCCGAGAAAACATGAGTCACCGAGGTGGCCCTGGGAAAGGACGTGGCGAGACGTGTTACCTTCGCACTGCCGGTTGTCTTCGTTGAAGCGGAAGCCTGGCTGGCAGACGCACTTGAAGCTGCCGAAGGTGTTTTGGCAGTTTCCACCCTGGCACAGCCCCGGCAGCTCGGTACACTCGTCAATGTCTGCACGGACGGGGAAATGGGTTCAGTGGAGTATTGTGGCCGATATTGGCAGGAAGAGACCGTCTTTGTGTATGCTTTGTGAAAAAACATGCGCCACTGGAAACAAAGAAACGTTTTTTTGTTGCCTCTGCACTAACTTGAATTTTAACTGTTAGATTCCACGTTTAAAAATGTGCGCATTGTGTAAGCACAGGAAGCAAACGGTAGCGTGCATGAGTTAACAGCATTGCTATTTTGTGGCTAGTACGTGATTTGACCGACTTACCTTCCAAGATGACGGTGTAGGGGTTTGGTCTGAAGCCTTCACCACCAGGACAAAGAATCCTGTATTCAGCTGGAGTTTGTGGAGAGACAGAAAGTACATTCAAGTGGATAATATGCAACATTTTCTTTGAGTAATCCTATTATTATATAAGTTGTATCCAAACGAATTATTTTAAAACAATCATCCTTCATTGTTGAAGTAACATTAGCCTATGCATGAGAGATAGTAAATATATCAGGAGCAGCCATCCAAGTCAAGTAAATTAATTTTTGCTTCAACACATGGTGCCTTTCTGGCACAAATATGCCACTCAGAACGCCATCATCACAGTAATACTTAAAATAAAAATAGAACATTCTATACATTGAGAATATATATTATCTATAGTTATTTCAAATATATGAAAATAAAAGCCAGTTGTGGCTGTGAGTTAGTTGTATGCAAGTGCAAAGAGATGCGTTTTTGAGTTGCAACTTGAATGTGGCGATGGAGTCGACTGTGCGTATTGCTTCAGCGAGGTTATCCCAGAGGTGTGGTGCTGCAAATGAGAAATATTTGTCCAACCCCATGGTTTTGTGTTTGGTTTTTGGTGGTTGGAGGAATGTTTAGGTGACAAGAGCAAAGTTATCTGTTGCCACCTCCTCAAGCTGCCACCACCTCTCATGGTTTTGCAATGCAAAAATCGATTCTAGCACAAGCAGATTTCGTTGATCCATCTCCGTGCTCCACACTCCTCTCTAAGCAGGTTCCCCCCTTTGGGTTAATTCTTTATTTATGAGTCTCGACCACCGACAAACCTCCCTTCTAGCAACATGCTCTCTACAAAATTACTTTTGTACGCTCTCTAATCCACGTGTTCCCTTTCGTGTCTCTGCATGTGCCTATGGTTCAGAAACATGGACATTGACAACGAAAACTGAATACATACGCTGAAAACACAACGAAGAAATATGGAGAGGTGCCGTCCGCTCGGAGTGACACTGAGCGATAATATGAAACCCACCACCCAGTAAAGGGGAGGATAGAGCCAGTGAAGCAGAGGTTTGTGCGTTGTGCTTTGAGCCCAAGTTCAATTTCCGGGTCCGGCCAACGTCAGTCGTGAGTGAAATCTCAACCGATTCTGGGCTTTTCCACGTTCACTAACCAAGCACTGATCAGTGTGGTGAGGTATGGTTAAATATCCCCAGCGGGGCCAAAAACAGCATGGGGGAGGCCTACGTCCAGTGGGCTACAGATGACGATTGGCGGTTGATGATTAATGGAATGAGGAGTCGCTGACGTGCGAGACAGCGCCGCGGGTACGCACTCGTGTTGACGACGGGACAAAGCTCGCATGGGGCACCCCAAGCTCGGCCCAGGGAACAGCAGCACGACGAACGTGAGATGCCGATGCCAATCTCCACGTTGCAGCTCAAGGTGCCGTCTCCTCTCTCCGTGGACTCCAGGAAGCACTTCCCGACTCTGTAGTCTGTCCCGGGCAAACACATGTGTAGATCGGTAAAAAAAAAAAAAGTCGAAAATATTCATCGGCAATAAATAATCTTTTTTCTGCATTGTGCCTTTCGCTGAATGAACATCGTAGGTTGCTGCCACAGTGCATAACCATCCTTCCCCTGATTTTATAAATGAATACATGATGCAAACTGGTTGTTCCGGCGTACAGAAATCAGGACATGTGAAAAGTAAATTGCGAAGCTGGTAGAACAACTCAACCACTGTGGGAGAGCAATATCAGGAAAGTTTAAACACACACAATTTTTCCATGTCTGCAGGTCCGTCCACGCGATCCAAAATTCAAAGTCTTTATTTCTACTTGACCGTGCGGATTAAAATACTGCGGAGCGAAAACAAAAAAAACGCACCCACACATCCTTGGCCTGAGGGACTCATTTGGTAGTCGGCAGGGCAGGTGCAGAGGAAGCTTCCTTGTGTGTTGGTGCAGATGCCATTGAAGCAATTGCTGGGATCAGCGCACTCATCTTTGTCTGCACAGGGTTTTGCACATTTCCATGAGTTAATACATGTCCTAACTTGTTCCCCCCAACTGTCAGCGTGCAACTGTTAGTTTGTAACATTAAATGTGATTCAATGACATTCTCAAGAAAAAAAGGGGACAATGCCGTTTACTCACCACAGTTTTATGCATTTAGGTTAAGTATTCGATTGTATGGCGACTAGAAATGGCCACATATGAGAAGAGCCAGTTCGATGAGCCATCATTTGTGGCCAGGTTGCCTCTGAAATCTTAGTGGGCTTTACCTGCTGAATAAACTAAAATAGTTTAACAGTTTAGTTCATGTCTGATTGTGTTTGAGGCTTCCTCGGATCAAAAGGGTAGCACTGTGTTAATGCTAACATTTTAGAACGTAATCCACAAAGTACAATGTGTAAGTGATGTCACACACTTAGTTAAACAGCAAAAAAAATGCCAATATGGTGGCACTATTACATAACAACAACAAAAATTGCACTCATAATACATTATTATGCACTTTTTCATTATATTCTTTTAAAATTAAATATATTCTAAGATGCATACATTCCGTGGGTCATTGTAGCTGCCATGTGTGCAAGAACAATAACATTCTAACAAACGACTGCGAGTGGAGTCCATGCAACTCAAGGTCTGATGGACAACCCCTGGGAAAAGAAACACGCAGATAAGGTGCCGTTTACACTGGAAAACCTCCCAGCCATAGCCTTGGCTGATGGGACGAAATTCGATTAAGTTGCATCCCTCACCTGTGCAGTTCCCTCCGGTCTCATCGATTTCATACCCAGGGTCGCACACGCACCGGAACATTCCGGGCACGTTCTCGCACTTGCCAAACACGCAGATGTTGTCGAACATGCACTCGTCGATATCTGGAGGGAAATGAGAAGAGAGACAGTGGAACCTTGACGCTTGAAACCCCCGACCATGATGCTTTGCAGGCTGTAGGCGCTTTGGCAAATGAGTGCTGCTCACCCTTGCAGGATCGCCCATCGACGGTTGGCACAAAGCCCATCTCACACTCGCAGCGATAACCGCCAGCCGAGTTGAGACACTGGCCAAATTCGCAGAGATTCACGTTCTCTGCACACTCGTCCATGTCTGTAGGGGGACAAAGAGAGCAACAGAAAATTGATGTTATATTCATGACAATGTGTGAGGGGGGGGGCGGGGCGGGGGGGGGGAGTGGGCAGGGGGGGGAGGGAGCGATTGACTATACTTCACTCCACGGAAGTCAGTGCAGGTTGGTGAAGGGAACACCTTTTGTCTTGTCCCTTGCTGACCAGTATGGGTGCCCATATCCAGTACTTTTACTACTCATTTATCTAAGACACTCAAGCCTCTTTTCCACAGTGAAGCAGTGCACATATATATGAAATTATGCAACATGTCTCCGCTCAGATGTGAATGCTTTATTGAAAAGGTCACGTAACAAGCATCGGGTATTATGAAGAACATGTTCCAGTTTTCTGGAACGTGCAAAGAAAATACACACACACACAAAAGCATTTGGCCCAACGCTCCAGGCAGAACCTTCTTGAAATAGTCTTCATAAGTGATTGCGACTTTGCTGAATAACTTTCACACCAACAAACACGAGAAGGAATGAACGAAAGGAAAACACTCGTGAAAATACGTCGCTCGTATTATCTCATCTCCCCCCGACGTCGCGTTGCTTGGCAGGTCGTGGCGGCGGCCACGGCGGCTGCGTGTGCTAAGTGCAGCCTTACCCACACATGTTTGTCCATCGCCCGAGAAGCCGTCTCTGCACACGCACGTAAAAGTGCCAGGAATATTCACGCACTTGGCCTCCGGGATGCAGTTGTGCGTCCCGTTGGCACATTCGTCGACATCTGCCGGAGGGCGCGCGGGGAAAAAGAGCGGAGGAAGAAGAAGTAAATCCTACATGGCAACGTTTTTTGCACGGTTCTCAAAATGCTCCAATGTTCTGTCAGCGGCACTTGAGCTATAAATGTTTTACTTCCAACCTGAATGCCGCTGAGTTGAACGAACTAAAAACATTTCCAAAGAAAATACTTCCGAATGTGTTTGCCTTATTCATAGCAAATGAATTCTTATTATTCCCTTCTAAATTATTATCGCCTGAAGTTTGCTGTGTTGAGGAAAGTGATGACGTGTGTTTACCTTGGCATTTCACTCCATCTCCAAAGTATCCTTCGATGCAGGTACACTTGAAGCTGCCCTGCACGTTTGCGCACGTCGCATGCATATCGCAGTTGTGCGCTCCAATCTCGCATTCGTCCACGTCTGAAGGAATGAAAAAACAAAAATGAGGCCAAATATCAGAAGAAATTCGATGCGAGAACGCATTTGCCGTGCAACTGCACGGCACAGTTTGTCACAGATGATGTAAACCTGCTGCGCACGTTGCACTATTCAATATATTAAGCTCTCTCCGTGCGCTAAATGTGAAAAAGGCCACACACTCGCGGCTGCCGCATGGACCCTGCCGCGAACGACTTTTCAACGTTTTTCGTATGCAAAAATAAAAGCAATTTTCACTCGTGCGTGCGGACGCATAGCTAAATTACATGTGCCTTCCACTCAAACCTGTGCATCCTGTGGAGCCCTTCTTGACGGTGAATCCGACCTTGCAGTGGCAGATGAATGAGCCACGTGTGTTCTCACACTTGCCGTGGATGCAGATGTTGGGGTTCAGCTCGCACTCATTCACATCTGCCGGACAACACACTCGTTTATTGTATTGTAGTAATCTTCTGCAGCACCGATGAGCCCTTTCCAAGGACTTGATGTAAATAACTGCACTACAGATTTATCTGTTTGCTCCGCATGTTATCTGCGGCTGGCTGCACTTGACCATGACAGAGTCACTGGGGTCTCTAACTTTGGCCTGTGTTCAACTTTCTTATATAATTATTCAGAAATAATAAATTAGTGTTGACAGGACTAGATTAGGTAACAATAGCCTATTTTAACCCTGAACTATAATTTGCTCGCCTATTAGTCACTAAACTCAGAAATGTCGTTCTGTAAGTCACTACATCACAGGATATTTGTTAATGTCCAAAAGCCTGCCATACCATTTGCTCCCTTGCCCATCATTTCCAAGCTATTTATAATAAGGTACCAGGACGAAACTCCGTAGCCACAGGAGAGGCCCAACACAGATGTTTCATTGAAAGAAAAAAAAAATGTGCTCCCATTCCAAAGGCGCTCGTTCTATTTTTAATGTCAAGAGCGGCGGGGAGCTTGTTGGGAGCTCACAGCGCGCAGCTCACCGGAACAAGTCTTCATGTCCACGGAGGAGATGAAGCCATCATAGCAGAGGCAGCGGTACTCTCCCGGAACGTTGGTGCACTGCCCGCCGTCACACAGGTACGGGTTGTCCTCGCACTCATCAATGTCTGAAAGACAGAGTGTGGCAGCACTTGACCGTGATTCGTACATCGTGAAAGCCGAACACATTGGTCAATAACACTGGCCTTAAAGGGACTAAAACATGATAGCTATGATTCTTAGAACGTTATGAAGAATGGCCATTGCCTGAAATGTCTTTGATTAAATTAGTAATATACATTTTGGACTTTCACGACAGTGTCACCGTTGCGTGTGTTGAGTTTCTTCTTGTTTTTGTTTGTGCACCGCCGCCAGTGCGGTCTCGCATGAACACATATTCACACATGGTGGATAATTACCACGATAGCATAGAATAACTTATTTTATGTACGTGAACGCTTAAGGGCTGACAGAAGTCCATGCATATGATCAGTCACCTGCTTGTGTATTTGGTCATTTTTTAAAAGCAGTGTTCACAGATTCATGTCATAGAAAAAGTAAACAGTCTTGAAAGTGTAAACGCCTGAGTGTGTCGAGAATGTGTTTTTGGCACAAGGTAATGTTGAAGCCTCTAAATATGAGTCTACGGAAATTTGATATTTATGAAAAGTGCAGTCGTAATTATAATTGCTATTATATAATTTCCATTAGCATTTAGTAGTAGGTAGTCTATGAGGCACAATTTCCAATTAAAGGCTATTTTCGTTCCATCATGTCTAATATGGAGAGTGACTTGTGAAATGCTGAGGGAAAAAATGGCCATAATAATAATGTATGCATGCAAGTTGAAATTCTTTCGCACCCTACGTGGCCAACCGTGCTAATCAGCGGTGCAATTTCGACAAAAACGTTGAGTAAATTATCAATATGAAAATAAAGCATGGAGAGATGCATGCTGGGAATTACACAGAAAGACCAAACGAGGGGCCCGTGGATTCAAGGGACAAACGCAAATTTATAGAGATAATATTGACTGTAAAGGATGGTCGTTTGGTTTGGACACAACACATTGCTAGAAGGGATGATAGCAGATGGACGAGGCTGGTGACAGAATGCCAGCCAAAGGAAGGAACACACCCAAGAGGGTGACCGCCAGAGCGATGCTGCGCTGAGATGATCTCATGGGCCGGTGCGAGATGGGTCATGACATCGTAGGACCATGAGAGATGGCGATGAATTATGGAGGAATTAATTTCAGGAGTGGCGAGAATATGACTGACGGTGGAGGTTATACAATAACTGTCTATAAATTGGCGTCACTCACCAGAGCAGCTGCGTGTGTCTGGCAACAGGGCATAGCCCCGCTCACAGCTGCACTCATAGCTTCCGTCTGAGTTTGAGCAGTGGGTGTCACAACCACCGTTCATGATTGTGCACTCATCAATGTCTGTAAGAAAAACATAACAACAACAATAACCACAATTCAACGTCGAATATGAACAGCTATGTTGATAAAATACACAGAAACAAAACATATACGGCACCTGTTTTTTTTAACAGCACAGGATAAACACACTTACCTTACATATTAATTAAGACAATTTTACATACAGGAGTAAACAACCATTTATATTTATTTATATTTATTTTAAACATTTATCGGGCACTATGGCAACAGGGTAATTATATGCAATGCTTCGTTTCTCCTTCCCCCACAGTCGGATTTCCATGGCCAGGCCACAAGTACAAAGAAAGAGTGCTGTATACTGAGTCTGATTTTCGTAAACAGATTTAAGTGCCACTAAAAATGTAGTGCATGTAGATTAGAGACAGGTCACTTACCCACACATCCTTGGCGGTCTGGGGTGGCACTGTAGCCGGTGTTGCAGGAACACTGGTATGAGCCAATCATGTTGACACAGCGGCCATTTCGGCACAGATTGCCACTCAGAGAGCACTCATCCACGTCTGTTAAAAGGGCACACACACACGCACACAGGACCAGCACAGAGGTCATTTATGAATGTACATAGATTATGATATAAATTCCTCGCTTGACGTATATCGGGTCAACCGAGAAGAGCAGGCCAAAATATTCTCTAAATGATGTTCTAGGGCTTCCTTTATTGGAGGCCCTTCCGTCAACAGTGGTATGAAGAAAACATTTCAAGGCTGCACCTTTCGCTTTTACATTCATGCTGCGAAATAAGCAGGATAATTGCGTCTTGTTTGCTGCTAGGTTTGTTTTTTAAGTATGCAGAGCTCACAGAGTCAAATGGGTGTTGATATTTGGGCAAAAATGGAAATATTGACAGTTTTTTTTTAAGTATATACTTTAGTCTTTTTCTCATTGTATTAATGCATTTTTAAACATGAGGTAAAATCTGTAACTAAGTTTGAGATTGATATATATATACCGTAACTCTGGCATATTTGTTAAAGGTCAGGTTCATGAAAAACAGTTATCCGGGAGGGGGGAGAAAAAAAACCCCTTGCCAGACAAGGGTGATGTTGGATGAAAATACGTTGACGTATGGAAGAGCGCTAAAGAGACCTATGACGGTGTTGTTGCCTGCGAAGGGAGAGGAGGAGATTTACCCAGGCACACGGTGCCATCTTCATTCAGGTCGTGTCCCGGTGGACACAGGCACTTGAAGCTGCCCTCCGTGTTCACGCATGTCCCACCGCGGCACAGCAGCGGGTTCCGCTCACATTCGTCAATGTCTGCACGGCGGCACAAAACGTGCCCAAAAAAAAGCAAGCAGCTCATGTCACGAACACGACGCAAGACAGACAACGACATGTCCTAGGCAAGCGTGCGATCGTGCAATGGTGTAGCTATGAAGTAAAATGAATAACCTGGTAGATACCGTGAGAAGGCAAAAGAGGCCGAGGAAGAAAGCGGACGAGATGGCGAGATGCAATCAAAGTATTTGGAGGTCCTTACTGGACCAGAACAACTCAGGAAAGGGAGGAATGTAAGAAAATTGGAGAGGCTCTTTCCCAGCAATGGGAAGTTACAGGCTGACAACAACAACAACAACAACCAAAGTTATCGCGAGTTAGGATGCTGTTGATAATGGTGTACAGGTCATACCCATGCAGTTCTTCATCATCATGAAGCCACTCTCAAAGCCCTCCATGCACTCGCAATCAAAGCTTCCGGGTGTGTTCACGCACGTCCCCATTCCACAGATGTCGTGAGAGATCTTGCACTCATCAATGTCTGTGAAAGAAGCCATCAGAGGGGGAGAGGTGCACAAACGACAGAGTTCAGTAACATGATTCAACTCGGCGCTGGAAATCTATTCATACACATCTTAGCACACGTGTGAAACAACTTGTTGGTACAAAATTGCTTACATTAGTGGCACGTGGTAAATCGTTTGTGAAGCCCTTACAAGGAGGATATTTTAAAAACAAAAGAGTTGGCCTGGTTGGGTATTGTATTCTCATGGTGCCTTCGAATCCAAGATTCGTCAGTTCACACTTTGGCACGAACGTATAGTGTAGTTTGGACGAATAGCGCCCATGTGGATATTAATTGCCTGTGATGCTTCACACATTCACGCCTCTGAATTTCACTGCAGTTCATCATGTTTATGCAGCCCAATTACAGCAACAAGTACCCGAATGTGCAGTGCCAGGAATCCTCGAATGTTGTACGAGTGTCAATCATGTTATGAAAAAAAATGCATATATTAGGTCATGGCGAGAGAAATCAAAGCACATAGCAGTTATTCTAGGACGAATGTTTAAGGATGTGTTTGTTCTCCCCTTCCCAAGAAGTGTGTAAATTGTGTTGGACCATACCTGTACAGTTCTTGCCCTCTGCGTCCAAAACGAAGCCATTTTCACAGTTGCACTTGAAGCTCCCAATGGTGTTCCTGCACTTGCCATTGGAGCACATTTGTGGAAAAACTTTGCATTCGTTGATATCTGTGCGGAGAGGATAACGTATACACATCGCTAATGAGGGCAAGCCCAAAGCACAGTTTACACAAGAAGTAAATAAACATACTTTTGTCCACCAGATCTTCTGATTTTGTTGATACTGTGCTCGCAAAATTACAGGAGTTGGGCCTAAAACGTTTCATTAGGTCAATCTTTCCAAGCGCTCTTATCTGTTTTTTGAACAGATCGCGTTCAAACAACTGTATGACAATTTTCTCCACTGCAACAAAAATGCTTTTCTTTTTAAAGCCATCATCTTCATAAATCAAAGCAGCAAAGCAACGAAGTAAAACACTGCTGCTTCCAACCAGCCCTGTATAGCATGGCCTTGTTTGAAGGGGGGGGGGGGGGAATGACAAGTCAATGTGAAACAAACTTGAAACGTACATTGCACGCAAACAATACGACAACGAGTAACGATAATCTCGTTTTGTCTATCCTTGCGCTCCACTCCAACTCTCACCACCCTATGTGTGTGAGGCAAGGCTGTGTTGGCCATTGCTTGGAGCGTTTAAAAGTGAAGGGCGGGGGGGGGGGGCTCAACTACCTCCAGCCTCCCTCCTTCTCCCCCACCCCCCACACAAATTATACAGGGCTACTACTAACACGAACCCGCGACAAGCCACCGTGGCTTTGCGACGCAGCGGCAAGGACCCCCTCCGCCTCGCCGTCACCTTTGAAAAAGTGTCGGCCGACGGGGTCGCCACGGTTGGAGTAGCCAGGGCCACGTGGGCACAGGAAGGCGTACTCCGAGCTGCCCTTCTCGGGGCAGCCCTCGCATTCGGGCCCCCAGGCTTTGCCCAGGGAGCAGCAGCAGACGTCGCTGCGGAGACGCACGGCCAGCGGTTCCTCGCACTCCTCCTCTTCGTACGACAGGTAGCAGTTCTCCAGGCGCAGGTCTGCGTGGCACGTCACAAGAAAGGTTCCGAGCGAACGGGAGACGCGGCGGTTACGCGGCGGAAACTTTCAGAAGCAGAAGTGTGGGCGCTCAAGGATATTTCAACATGTCTGGCTCGTGCGGAAATACCCTCTAGAGGGGCTCTCGAAACCGATCTGTCGTGGACGCCGTTCTGCCAGGTAGTCTCACGAACAAGCAATTTCTTTATTTTGTCATTTTATTCTAAACTAGAAGCCCGCAATGTCCTTTGGCCGTGACCATCTGTCTGTCTCTTTTTCCCTCCGGACGTCACGTCCTGCCAGTCAGCCAGTCAGCAAAACATTTTCTAATATAGTTTGATAAATAAAACTGACCTAGATTAGCTTTGACGTGGGCCTAATGCTTTCTGTACTCTTGTGGTAAGGGAGTAAGATACATGCATTAACAATATAATTGCAATGCAATTTCAGAATATTTAATACAATTCCTTTTTTGATCACATCAAAAATTCCATAACATAATTCAGTAGTAACTGCATTGACAATCATAGTACTTATTTAAAAACACGCTCTTAATAATGTTTTTTTATATATATGCTGTACAAGCTAAACACATTTAAGGCAAATCACCTGCAATGTTTCAGGCTGTTAGGAACAAATCATATTTCAGGTTAGACTGTCTAAACATTTTCATTGATACTGCCTAAAAATATACATTTAGACTATTACCATTCAAACTGCCTAGAAATTCAGGCAGTCTGTGTGAATATTTACATTGCCTCTCAAATGCCTGACCATGTACTTCGAGTGTAGTTATTCCATTAAAGTTCCTTAAATACAGAAAAAAACGTACTCCTGAAAGCTCGATTTAAAATATCCATAATAGAGGTTTTTTGGTGAGATCACGTGAACATAAATGTGTCGTTAAATCCACCACCACCTGACACAGCCAATGAGTAAGGTTTGTCACGTAAACAGAACATGCCAATTCATTACTAGGACAGCACACCGGCGTGTTGGAGATTAAACCCACAACGTTTATAATTCGAGTACGATGTTTTGCCAGTAATTACAACCAGCATCATCAGGCGATAGACAGATTTGCCTGGCTCTCACCGTGGCGAACAATGTACCTCCCTTCATCCTAATATACCTTCCTGCATTGCGGGCAGCGCTGGTGTAAAGTGTGTTGCTTAACTGAGGAAAAGTGTTTTGCTTTGAGTGTTTTTTTTTCCCCCATCAGGCTTACCAATGCAGGTCCTGCCGGTGCTCTCAAGGGTGTGGCCAGGTGGACATTCACACTTGAATGAGCCGGCCGTGTTTATACAGCGAGAGTTGACGCAGATCCCCGCAAACACCTCGCACTCATTCACGTCTGCAGGTACGGAATGTGAGCACGAGAGAGAGAGAGGTCAACTTTGGTGAACTTGGGGAAAAGACAAAATAGTGAGATGCATTCGCTATACTTCTGTTGAAATTGTGCAAAGGATCACATCCTGTGAGAGACCATTAAATGTTTGTTCAGCCAGAACTTGGTTAGACTGCACTATTTGCGGTCCAACAGGTCAACATATATTATCTATTACAGCGGTTCCCAGCCAAATAATTTGAGATGCAATATTATACGAGCATGTGTAAGTGTAATTTAACTTGTGTTTATATAACATATTTATTCTATAATTAAACATCGCCCTTCATGAGGGAATAGAATATCACGCTGAGAAAGAATAATTCAAGATGTTCAGCACATGGCTGATTGAAGCCTACTGGCTAACATGTCGACGCTGTTTGCTTTCGTTTTCCCTTGTGTACATTTCATTTCCTTATAACGTGTTGGAAAGTTCACGGGGGGGGGGGGGGGGGGGGGGCGGGTCCGTTTTATGCAGTGAGAGTGAGTCCTCTTAAGGGAAGGAAACAATACCACGCAAATGACGATTACCTTCACACTGAGTTCCTTTCGCTCTGGAGAAACCCTTGGGGCAAATGGTGTCTGCAACAAAGAAGAGAAATTACGTTTGGACATAAACAAAACAAGACAGTGAAAAGCACATGCTGTCCTTAAGAAAAATGAGACAATTTAATAATAGAGGTGCCAGACACATTTGGTAGAGGAGCTCTTTTGGAAACCAAAGTTTCTGGAAAAAGTGGAACATTGGAATCAAGCGTTAATATAAAGTAGTATGTATGAATATTCACTTGCCATAGGAAGTCAACAATTGTATTTAATGCCAACTCAGCAGAGGTCAATTTTTTATGAAGGAATTGTCTGGAGATTGGTCACTGGTGAGCTTGACTGTGCAGGCGCTGGTGCATTAATGGACACTTTGGATGGCTTTCCTCCAAAGTCGCCATCGGATGCACAGAGAATTTCAATCAAAGAATAAAACATCCAATTAGTGATGCGAAAATAAACAAATTAATTGTGGAAGTTGCACAAACACAGATACATAATATTTGGGCAAGTTTAGGTCATTGGAATTTACAACACACGACTACACTTGGTGCATTTACATTCAGAGCGAATGTTGGGAAAAAAATAAACAAACGAATATTTGTTTGGGCCAAAAGAAATGGAAGGGTTTTACCTCGGCTGCAAATAGGGAATGGATAAAAACAAATTCCCAGTATTTTTTTAATGCAACATGCTCTGGTATTTCTCCGATGCATCAAAGTGAGTCTGCTATAATTTCCAGCCACAGCTGCCATCGCTCCACCCCACGAACTGCACTCTGAATCCAGTGACTGGCCACAGCTTATGTGAGAAGAGAGAGATTTTCAATTGGCCGTGAGTCCCCCCCCCCACTCGCTTAACTGTCTCACACTGACCAGCGTGGTGAAGTATGGTCAAAAACACCCCCAAATCTGACACGTCACCAGAAGGATTGCTCAGGGTTGTATAAATCACTGTTGTGATTGCGTCGCTCCATGTGCTTGGAGCTTTATCAGGAACCGAATTCCCAACACCTGTAGATAATAATAATAATAATTGACACTTACAAAGCGTGTTTCACCCAGAGGTCGCAAGGGGCCCCGTGCACAGAGCTAAAAGAAAGCAAATAACTAACGCAAATCTAAAAACCTAATATAATCACGCAGGCTCATGATTTAACCACGGATACAAATACCCCGTCCCCCCCCCCACCCACCCCTTCACCACACTCCCAAAACACATTAAAAAAAAAAAATTAACGGCGCAACCGTGAAAAAAAAAAAAACCTACGATACATTTGCGGTGAGCGGCGATATTTATCGTTGTTGTGTTGCCCGCGCGGTGGGGGGGGGGGGGGGGGTGGGTGGGGGGTGTGCGCGCGCCAACCCGTACCAAGTTCACAGGGCTCGCATGGGCTTCCCCAGGCGGCGCCCAGCGTGGAGCAGCACTCAGACTTGAGCGTGGCACCGTTCACGTTCACCTCACAGCGGTTGTCGATGATGTTGAGCCAGCATGTTCCCTTGGTGCTCTCTGCGCGCATTGCGTCGAGAGACGGAGAGGGGCGGCGGGGACACGTCCGAGAGCAACGATTAGAGTGCCGCATGCGTCGACCAAAGTGGTGCAAAGTTACGGGACAGAGAAGCAACATTCGTGGAAGCGGAGCGTCGCGCGAGTGCTTGCCAATGCAGATGGTCTTGGTTTGGTCGAGCTTGCTCGTGGGCAGGCACACGCAGGTGAATGAGCCCACCGTGTTCTGGCAGTTCCCATTGATGCACGGATTCGACTCACACTCGTCGACATCTAAGAGGCGACGGGGAGAACAAAAAAAATACACACGGCGATGGTCCGCATCAGATATGGCACGCCACATCACTACAAAAACAAGCATACTGCATATATAATAGCCAGCATTATGACATAATAATAATAATAAATCAACGAAAGAGGAAAATATGAAGTATCGGGGCATGGCCATAGCTGGACTTCCAACTTAAACAAATTGGGAACTTGGCATCATCTGTCAAGAAAGATATATATACAGTGTTTATATTTATATAACTTAATTAAAGCCAACTCTATAAACCATAGGCTCCAATGTGGCACTGAAATCAGTAAAACATTGTCTGTGTAGTCCCGTCTATGGCTGCTGTGGGGAGCCGCCCAAAAGTGTATGACTGCATTGTTCTCATCTCACTGCTGTTCTCGTATTGCTAATGGGAAGATGGAATCACGGAGTTAATGAATGGATAGATCAATGAATGAATTAATCATGTTCATTGCATCTCGGGTGCACGGCACCCAGCCCACCTTCGCACATCTCCGTCTCGTGCTTGAAGAGGTATCCCGCCGGGCAGGCACAGGTGTAGCTGCCAGGTGTGTTCCGGCAGCTTCCGTTATCACACAGGTGAGCGCGAAGCGTGCATTCGTCGACGTCTGTTCAAGATTTCAACAAAGGCGACAGTAAAACTCAGATTAAAAAAAAGGGGTCAACAACGGTGATGTTTGTTGCTATTTTTTAAATGAGGCCTTCATCCAGCAGTGGATAATGCCTATTTCTGATGATGGTGCTGATGGTGTAATGCCCTACACTAAACCAAAATGTCAACATCGCCAGTTAATGTGTTAATCACGAGAGTGAAACGAAGATGATGAAATGGATATTCGTTGATTACGTCGATGGGGCTTCTAGTTAAAGTTCTTGTTTCATGTGCTGGCAGTCACTTTCTGCTGATATTTTGTGCTTTTCCACCAATATGAATCAGACCCATCCTGTTACATACACAATGATCTGTTAGTGTTGCTGGATTTATTTATTTTATACAGATTGACTTCAATTAATACTAGGTGAACTGGAATATTCATTTCATTTTTAAAAAAAACTCTTGTTAAAATGTACATTTTCCATTGTTGCATGGAACCAAGATTACGTCCCTAGCCATGTTGACCATTTTGCACATTGATATAAATCGTCTGTACTCAAGGGTGACCTGCACTGCCTTGCCTAAATTCACAAGGGTGAGTGGCACATCGTCTTCATATTGACGACGTGATGCTGTCCGGTGAAATAGCAAAACATTTTACAGCGTGACGTTACGTTCTGATCTGCAGTTAGGAGTTTCTAGGGATACGCAGTGAGCAAGGGTGGACAATTGTTCAGCAGATGTTCCATCGTTTGAAGTTGTTCACCACATTTACAGTGTGGCATGTCCTTTGAGTCTCCATTTGTGCGTAAAGTACCAACGGAATCCATAAAATACAAATATTTAACTTTGTGATATTTTGCAACAATAGAAAATATATACGCTTTAATTTAACAAGGAAGTAGATTAATATGGGGCTTCTCTGAAGGTTTATCACATGGTTCATGGAGCCAATTGCACACTGGTAATGTTGATAACATTGACCAAATAGACAAATCACAAGCACTTCTATTTCAAATTGAAAACATGTCGAACCCATTAAATGATTTTTAATATGTAATCCAACGTGAAGGCAATCTATGGGATTATTTCTCCTCTGTGGGAAAGCAGGTAAAAAAAGAAATCCTCCCATTTTGTTCATGGTCGGCAAATTCCCAAAATTGCAGACGCAACGCTGAACCACTGAGCAGAATTCCTTTTGCTGTAATCCCTTTTCCCCGAGGCTCTGATTTATTATGTTCTCAGGCTGCCAATCACTTAGCATTAGGAAAAAAGAGCGGACCGTGCACATATGCTTTTCAGGCGTGACTTAGTCTGGAGCCAAACTATCATCTTTCAGTCGGTCTTTGTACCACCACATCATTACCTCGCAAATAAAAAAAGCCAATCCCTACGTCCACAGGGACTGCCGGCAGACTTTGCATTCAACCCTGTCCTTATAAAAAAAAATAACGAGACTTTATGACCAGAATCTCAAGAAAAAAAAACAACTCTTCAGGAATGTAGGTTTAACCATGAAACGTTTGATTTACATCCAGCCGGTTGATTGTGTTTTCGGTGCGTGCGATAAACTCTACCTAACTGATGTATTTTTTATTTAACAAAAAAACAATTTTGTGGTGCGGTTTTCTTGTACGATGCCGAGCTTCGGATTGTGCATGTGTGTGTGTGTGAATGTGCTGCTTAAACAATGGCACTCATCACAGTGCCGGCCTCCATAAAACACGTGTCAGACGTCGCGGTTCCCCCTGATCTCTGTAAGCATGTTCGCCCCAAAACGGCCGTACATTGTCATCAACGCCGGTAATGTCACTACAGAACGTTATCTTAGGGCTGTAAGTGCTGTGATGTAATTCGGCTAAAGAACAACTGTGAATTTTCTTTTGAAAAACAATCATCTCAACACATTGTTCGCTTTTCATGTCCTCGGCGGGATGGGGGGGGGGTCCTCATCTAGGGAAGATGCGCAAAAGCCAAACAACCACAGAAAATGTCCAAACACACATCCAACACCGCCGTTGATTTACGACTGCTCATATTTCAAGAGCGTGTGAAGTCAAATTGTTACCAACTGAGCTTGTAATGACAAACGTGTGCAAGTTTCACATCACGTGCCAAAGTATAAAAAATATATATATACCTGCCCAATATGTACCGTGAGTTGCTCGGGATGACGTCTGATGGTTCGCTCCAAGCACGTGGAGTGAAACATCGGGGGGAGTTACACAGCACGTAGAGTGAAACATCGGGGGGAGTTACACAGCACGTGGAGTGAAACATCGGGGGGAATTACACAGCATGTAGAGTGAAACATCGGGGGGAGTTACACAGCACGTGGAGTGAAAAATCGGTGGGAATTACACAGCACGTAGAGTGAAACATCAGGGGGAGTTACACAGCACGTGGAGTGAAACATCGGGGGGAATTACACAGCATGTAGAGTGAAACATCGGGGGGAGTTACACAGCACGTGGAGTGAAACATCGGGGTGAGTTACACAGCGCGTGGAGTGAAACATCAGGGGGAGTTACACAGCGTGTGGAGTGAAACATCGGGGGGAGTTACACAGCGTGTGGAGTGAAACATCGGGGGGAGTTACACAACGCGTGGAGTGAAATATCGGGGGGAGTTACACAGCACGTGGAGTGAAACATCGGTGGGAATTACACAGCACGTGGAGTGAAACATTGGGGTGAGTTGCACAGCACGTGAAGTGAAACATCGGAGGGAGTTACACAGCACGTGGAGTGAAACATCGGTGGGAATTACACAGCACGTGGAGTGAAACATCGTGAGGAATTACACAGCGTGTGGAGTGAAACATCGGGGGGAGTTACACAGCGTGTGGAGTGAAACATCGGGGGGAGTTACACAGCACGTGGAGTGAAACATCGGGGGGAGTTACACAGCACGTGGAGTGAAACATCGGGGGGAATTACACAGCACGTGGAGTGAAACATCGGGGGGAGTTACACAGCGTGTGGAGTGAAACATCGGGGGGAATTACACAGCGCGTGGAGTGAAACATCGGGGGGAATTACACAGCACGTGGAGTGAAACATCGGGGAGAGTTACACAGCACGTGGAGTGAAACATCGGGGGGAGTTACAGAGCACGTGGAGTGAAACATCGGGGTGAGTTACACAGCGCGCCCGCAGAAAACCTACGCAGGGGTGAAATTGTCGACCACTCACCTACACACTTCTTGCCAGTGATGTCAGATTCGTAGCCAATGTTGCAGACACAACGGTATGTGCCCAGCTGGTTCTCGCACTGTCCATTCGTGCAGATTTCCGGGTTCAGAGCGCACTCATTGATGTCTGAAAGGTAAATCACAGAACTACTTAACATTTGTAACGAATGAGACGGTCAGGAAGGGAGCACAAAGAGTGTGCAAACATTTAAAAACATTAAGAATTTCTTTCACGCAGTGTAATCTGTTCAGGATACACAGCATATGTGTCAACAAAAGCTTAGTCAAGGTTCTACAGTATTATTCTGTCTTCTCAATAATGGTCTTATACTTCTAAAATGCAATTAGGGTTTCTTTGGGAGTTTCTTTACAAATTTTAAAAGTGTCATAATAAACTAATGTACAGAACTTGGTATGAACGAAAAACTGCTTCATTAGGAATTTATAATTATAAATATATACACACCAGAACACTTTTGCTGATGTCACATTCGTGCAAAACATAAAACACGGCCCAATGCATTACATAAGTACACGGATATTCAGGAAGTACAAATAATGTCCACAAAACATTGCAAATTCTAGTTTACCTTTCCCCCCATTGTCGAATCCAGGAGTTGGGCAAAGCATCTTGTAGTCATCTGTGAAAATTGGGTCGCAGTATTAACAAGTGATGTTTAAACAAATTTGCATGTGCTTTTTTCCCTCACCCACCCCTCCTTTTTTCCATCCTTCAAATGTGTCTCTTGTTTTTAAATTTCAGCCAACCCAATAGTTGAACCCTTGTAAAACTGGACACGCACGACATGTAGCTATACCGGGCAGTGTGGTTTATTGTTGGACCTTTGCATGCGATAGAATCGTGGCAAAAAAACAACATAATCTTAAATAAAAAAAAATATAAACAAGCAAATTCACGAGTGTATTGAATCACCGCGTTAAAAGTGCACTTTGCGGTGCTCCTCCTTACCAGAGTTGACCGCAGGACAGGGCAAGCACGGCTCCCCAAATGCAAAGTTGGGGTTTGCGCAGCAGCACTCGGACTTAGTGTTGGCCCCAGGGAAAGGGGTCAGACACTTTCCCATCATGTAGTCGCCGTAGCAAGTGCTGCGCATGTGTGTGTCTGCAGCAAAACAAACACCGGGTCATAAACTGCGTTTAAAGGCGCATGGCCCCAAAATGCACGCACTGGGACTTGGGTATGAACGGAACTGCCTTGTTGGTTGCTTATTGGACTGCCAATAATGGCAGAAACCCGGCAAATAAACACGGACAGTATTTGACAACCTCAATGTCATAGGGCCATCTGTTAAATGCGCTAAAGGTTCACTGGAATATGTGTGCTGGCGCACTCAGTGACCTATAAAATTGCTAGTACCGTATAAAAGTTAACTTGGGGGATAATTGGGTGCCACGTGGTGCAGTTTGACTTGTTGACCCCGCACAATAAGGCTATGGGTGTCCAATGTCGCCTGTCTCCCCCACAGCTTATACAGGGTGTGTCCTTTAAAAAGTGTACCCAAGTATATTGAAAAAAAAACGTAACTTGGGTATACTTTTAAAAGACAAACTCCAAAAGTTACTGCAAGCTAAAAGCTGTTATCTTTGAGGTGACCCTCCAATTGATACAGAAGCTGAAGTTGGAGTGAAGCATATTCACTGCAGTGGCATCAATTGCATGATGGCCTTGTTACAATTCGTTTTTTTTATTTTCCACCCCACAGCCCTCAAGGAATTATGGGTAAAAAAAACTGTAATAGATATATTTTTGTTAATACATAGAACTAAATGTGTGATTGAACTGTGATTATAGTCACCGTACCGATGCAGAGGCGCCCGTCCATGCTGACGATCATGCCTGGAGGACACTCGCACTTGAAGGAGCCCTCAGTGTTGATGCATCGTCCGTTCATGCAAATGCCGTGCGTTTGACACTCGTCAATGTCTGCCGCAGAGTTTACAAATCGTTAGATCGACAAGGGGATGCGCCATTCTGATCGAGCCATATACACTGGTCGTGCTGAAATTTTCGTTTTAAAGCAGTGCTCATTTACCGAGGCAGTATCGTCCGCTGGGCACCAGGTAGAACCCAGGTTTGCAAATGCACTTGAAGCTCCCATCCTCATTGATGCACATCCCGTTCAGACACATGTTTGTGGTGGAACACTCGTCATGATCTGTAAATATGGAAAAGTAACTGTTTAACTGGTATGCTGCCGTTATGTAAGCATAGTGGACTTGCAATCCAGAGGTCACAGATTCAGTTTTACTGTGCGGCAAGCTTCTTAAATTCCCCGGAATCTTTCCATTGAGCAGTATAAATGGCGACACCACATTTCGATTTAAAGCTTTCGTGACTGCAAGGATTCATCTTCTTTGGTTCTTTCGGTAAAGTCACGTAGAATGAGAATAAAATAATAAATTGATAAAATAAAATAACACAATAATATTATCACGACGTTTCTACGTGACTTTACCGAAAGAACCAAAGAAGGCGACACCACAGTTGATTGGCAAGTCGCGCACTTGGTGGGGTCAAGTGTGGGTACTGCCACTGATTCCAAAATTGCCTGACCAACGTGCAAGAGTAGGCTAAAATAGCCTGTGGAGGAACACTCTTGAACTCGATCGAGTGGGAGGCTCTTTTGCCAGCAATGTCATGAGCAAACAAATGCAAGGCACCTTTACCTTTAACTGCTCAATCACATTCGTGTAGTCATATGTAAACATTGTAATAAGAAACATACGGTACTGTTTTACATACCAGTCCACTATCACTCTTGATGCATAAATAATACCCAAATAGTACCTTGTTAAATGTTACAGCAATATTTATTTTGTCAATTATAGACTTAACTGATTTGAGGAAATGCAATATAGGAAGTGGAAGGTGCTATGGGTAACGCTCCTTTGATACTGTTTTGACTAGAGAGAAGGCCCTCTTATCCTCAGCCCTATTACGCATAATGTCTCTTATCTATCGCCCCCGTGGAGCCTTGAAAATCCTATTATGCTCAGCTGGTTTCTTCCCATTAGCCACTGGTACCCTATATTCAGCTATGGTCTCCCAGGAGTGCTGAATACATTTTTTATCCACATCGTTTTGCAGATAAGAGAAGTCACCCGGAAGTAGTGGATAATTAGTCCTATTGGTGTCTGTACATGGATAAGAGCCACCCGAAAGTGATCTTCTGAAAGCCCCGAGTTCAGAAGTGGTGTAAAATTACTTTATCTGTGGATAACCACGTAGATATCAGGAATTCATTATTGCAAGACAGGTGATAATAATTAGGGGAGCACCAATAAATATTTCCCGCCACATTGAAGTGGACAAGAAGGAATTTCAATCGCATATACACTCGGAGCACTCACCAAGGCAATTGCGACCATCAGCAGTAAGCTCAAACCCTGCATTGCAGATGCACTGAAAGCTTCCTTCCGTGTTGACACAACGACCGTTCTTACAGACCTGCCCATTGTACACACATTCGTCGATGTCTGCAAAATGGAAGGGGAAAAAAATCACACTTCGAACATTGTGAATGCCGCAAAATGTATCCGCATGTTTATATTGAAAACGCAAACTTGATGCGAGTCAGGAGCTGCAATGTGTATTAGCTTCTTACATGTGTTACTACGGTGTTTCAGTCAGCATTGAAGGAGTACATCTTACCAACACAACCACCACGGAAGTCTGACTTGAATCCACGGCCGCAATGTGTTTGGTTCAGAGCACCAATCCCTCCTGGGGAGACCACACAAAGTATCAAATTTGCACACTGCATTCATGAAAAGCTAAAATGTATGATGTATTAAAGGTTGTTGTGCATGACCAAGTGGCTAAATATAGCAATGGCTTTTGTACAAATGACAGCCAAAGCTTCAGAATATATTCTGCTGCAGAGTAATGCACATGGTTTATTTTTCACACTAGAATGGTTTCTGTAAGGACAAAAGATTTAAAGGTGAAACACTGTGGGTCTGGTTTACGTAGCTTCACAGATATACATTTTTCAGCAAATATTTGTCAGAAAAAGAACAGCAAATTACACGAATTTCAGCAGTGAGGTTGGAAATTCCGTCACACCAACACATATAGCGGGCTCGGTATATGTGTTCTGTAAATTACTTTATAATGTTGCCACTGCATATGTTGTATGTGTATAGATAGGAAACAAAGATACTCACCAATACCAGGGTAAGTTCCTGCTGGGCCTCCTGGCCCTCCGGGTAGAAATTGGCTACCAGGATCTGGCCTCAGGGGTCCACCTGGCAAATGCGTCCCACCAGGCCCAAAGGGGGGTACAAGAGGCAATAATGGGTCTCTTGGTTGATGTGGGCCACCAGCCTGTCCTGGCCTGTGAGGCCCACCTATATAACCTGGTCCACCCGGTCCAAATGGATCAAGTCCGCCGGGTCCGCCTGGTCCGCCTGGCCCACCTGGCCCATTGGGATCACCGGGGACATGTGTCCTATCTGGGTAGCCTTGCCCAGCGCCGGGTGAATATGGCAAGCGCTCGCACATTCGCTGGTGTTCCTCTGTACGGGAATGAGACACACAAGCAATTATTTTTACGTGTTTCATGCACGTAAACAAAACACATACGTAAATATTTCAACAAAAGAACTAACAGATGCAAAATTATCTGTATATGGTGGTCGTAAACAATAGAGCAATATGTATGTGCATACTTATTTCATAATATTATTTATTCGAATGTTATTTCTTGTCTGCTTTCACTCGAATCGTTTTAAATAACTTCGCAAGGAGGTTCATCAGCATCATCACTTCACTGTCTTATTATTTGCATTCAGTTTGCATTTACAAGCTCTTAAAATTATCACGTTAAAATCAGTCTCAAAATCTATAAACACATACATGCAGGCAAGCATAGGATACTGGAGATCCTCTATAAGGGTGGTGGCGGAGGATCTGGGAGGCAGGCATAGATGAAATGCAAATGCACATTGGAGGGGGAAAGAAATGTCTTTCACCTGTGCCACGAATGGGGCACATCTCTGGTGTAGGGCCATAAGACCAACACCGGCCCGAGTCACAGCAGCACTGGGTCCTCGTGAACTGTCCTTGCATCACTGCACTGCACCGTCCATTGGCGAGTGATGCATAGCAGGCCCCTGTGCGCTGGTCTTGAAAGAGTGAAACACAAACATTGCTGTGATTTGCAAACACTGGTATACTTGATGTGGCCTGTGCCATGTAAAAAATATGGTATATTGACAACGGGAAAGTCAGTTCTAAAAAAGTATAGTGAAATACAATAGCTTGGAATCGAACAAGTTGAAAAATATAATCGTATTTGAAGTCAACTCTACTGAATGTCAACACATACAGCTCTTGGGGAGTACACGCTGAAGACCCTTCCAATTATCCACGTCAAATACATTATGAAAACAATACATCTATTTTTTATATTTAAAAAATGTCGCCCTTTAGATGGATACACACGCACGTGATTAATTCTCCAAAATGCTTGCAATCGTTCTTCACGCTGTGCGTGCCAGAGTGTGTGCACTATACATTGAACGTGGCCACCTACCAAAACAACTTGAGCGGTCAGGTGGCGTGGAAAAGCCAGCAGGGCAGTTACAAAAATAGCTCCCGATGGTGTTTTTGCACTCTCCACCGTTGCATATGCCAGGGATGGTTTCGCATTCGTCAATGTCTAAAGAAGGGTTTTTTGGAAGCACACAAACAAAGCAAGGATTATAAAGATAATCTCAGCTGGTTACAATTCTTCTGAACCTCATAATTATCATTGAATGTTTCAGTTTGTGCACATGGGGTGTAGGATGTGGAAGGACATTACATTCTTCCTCTGTGAACGTGTTTCATATGATCTGGTCCCTATGCCATTTGAAATAATATTCCTTCTTTTTGTAAAACTGGATTACCCTCAGGAAATCTCACCATGCTTTGTAAAACATATAAAGTGTTATTTTTTTATTTTTACACTTGTCTAACTTTTTGCATTTGTATTAAGCACAGATGGCTTTTTAATAGTTACCCAGCTGCAGGAATGTGTGCAATGATGTGACCACTACAAGACATTTAGGGTTTGCATGTTTCCAAACATCATCAACTCTTTGACAAACAACTTTCGAAACATATTCTTGGTTCTTTCAGTAAAGTCACGTAATCATCATCAGGTGTGAAAACCACAGCAAGAAAATTTGAAAAAATATATATTGCTGTGGTTTTCACACCTGATGATGATTGCTTGTGTTGCAGTCGAAACGTCGTGAGAATGTTATTGTTTCATATTTTTATTATTTTATTGTTTCCATTCTACGTGACTTTACCGAAATAACCAATAATATGAATCTCTGCAGTCACGAAAGCTTTAAATCAAAATTTAACTTTCAAAACGTTATTTTAAACACGTTATTTACTCGTATTCGCAAAGGTAGCATTCTTTTGCACATCCTTTGGCATGTTAAAAATTGCACACATATAAGCATTTTTTTACTCTCAAACTATTTTCAACGTTTTAAAAATGTATTTCCCATGTCTGTTGATGGAGCAAATCAAATGAATAGCTGAGCAAAAACGGACTTCACATATTTTTTTAAAGAATGTTATTTAAATTAATGTAGTGTGATTTTTTTTTACGATATTATATACAGTAAATTATATAAACAACTGCCATTGTAGAACATGAATTGTGCATATACTTTTAAACATCTTACTTCTTAGAACTAGAATTTAAAAAAAACTTTGAAACATCTCACTCATTAGAACTAGAATTGGGCACAAACTTTTAAACATCTCACTTCTGAGAACTATAATTGGATATACACTTTGAAACATCTTTCTTCTTAGAACTAGAATTGGGCACAAACTTTGAAACATCTCACTCATTAGAACTAGAATTGGGCACAAACTTTGAAACATCTCACTTCTTCGAACTTGAATTGGGCACAAACTTTGAAACGTATCAATTCTTAGAACTCGAATTGGACGTAAACTTTGAAACATCTCACTTAGAACTCGAATTGAGCACAAAACTTTGAAACATCTCTCTTCTTAGAACTCGAATTGGACACAAACTTTGAAACATCTCACTTAGAACTCGAATTGAGCACAAAACTTTGAAACATCTCACTTCTTAGAACTTGAATTGGGCACAAACGTTGAAACATCTCACTTCTTAGAACTAAAATTGGACGTAAACTTTGGAACATCTCCTTTCTTAAAACTAGAATTGGACACAAACTTTGAAACATCTCACTTTGTAGAACTAGAATTGGACACAAAATGTGAATACACGGACTATATATGCAGCTAACAATGTTGCTGTTTTCGGACAATGCCAGAATTTTGTGATTTATATATAGTACTTTTAACCGACACTGGCAGGCTTAGGGCTTCATATGTTGAACTTTATTATGAACTTTCATTCGATTGAGAATTTATTTATCAGACGTTATAAAACTGCACTTACATTTATTGCCAGGTTGTGTATTGTATTGCATTTTTTATGCTCAGTTTAGGTCACGGATTACGACGCGTGAATTTTTTCTCTTTTGCAAAAAAATCGTTTCATAAATTATCTGCTTAACAATACTTTCAATATCGTATTTCGTTTGAACTGAAATATTACAACCATTGTCCCGCCAGGTTTCTTTTGCCTCCACATTTTCTCTACATTTTTTTACTGGAGTGTATATTTACGTAGTCTTGACTTTGTGGTCTTTTAGTTTTAATAAAAAATAAGTTATTAAACTTACATTTAATATTATTGAAATGTATTATATTATCATCTACATCATTGGCTATGATCAATCCCCTTCTGGATGAGGGCCGCTCCAAGCCGTCGCCATCCCTCACTGTCCCAACACATGAACTGATGACTAAATTTTATTTCAGGCTTATATAGTTTTGTAATCTTGCACAATAAATGTTGATCACTTGCTCTTGTTTATGGATGTACCCTGTATGTTAGCATCTGCATTTACCCTTGTATATTCTTTACCATATACGCCTTGTAACAGAAATAAACTGTCACAATAAACTCTCATTGGCTTAAGTAAATGGCACCTTTCTTACTAATTCATATTTAATCTTGAAATTTGGACACATACATTCATAGACTCCGACCTCAACCAAGACGTCTGCCCAGCATAAAGGGTAGGCAAAATAACCCTCTTAGAGGCGCTCCCTAGAGCTCATTATAATGGAGTCCCTTCTTGCAACAGTGGTGTGAGCAATAAATCAAAGGGCTGCGCATTTGCGCTTTATAAACACAGACATTTATTGATCCTACATGTACGCGTATTGTAGTTTGAAGCTTGTGTTTGAATCGGTCAAGTGAGGAGGTTATAAAACGTGGTGAATGTTGAGCTTCGTACAACGTACAATCAGGCAGCGTTGGCTCAATGTAGATTGACGTTTGTGGAATGAGTGCCCAGCTGTGGCGTTAAATGGCATTCTTTGGAATTTAAGAATAATGAACAACAAGGAGGCTGCCAATTTTAGCATTCATAAATGCATTCAACTGCAATTTTTCCATTTTCATTCTGCACCGCATTATTTATGCATTGACTCTTTGTTTAAAACTTCCTGGCATACGCCTCACTTTGCTGTAGATTTCCTTTAAAGATAAAAAACACGCGTTGGGTGTTTCGAGATTGAGTGAAACTATAGCTGCCACAGTGCAAAATGTTCAAATGTGACCTCTACTCTTCCCATCGCTGTTACCAAATTGGCTCACAAATTAAAAAAAAAGTATTTCCATGGGAATAACATTCTTGTGAATAAGAACATAGCAATTTTACCAAAATGAGCACTCTATTCAGTTTCTTATGGAACATCTCAAACTATTGTTTGTGTGTATGCCTGTTGCCATGAGTATATTGCCCGCCACTTGGAATTTGTATCCAAATAAAATATTACGTCTCAGTGAGTCTATGTCTTTATTCCTTAAAATTTTCATTGTGTATTTTAAAATCAATTACATTTCTGACTCTGGTACAAATGTCGTATGACTATTTCTGACTTTCAACATGAAGCAGATCTTAGCAGCAACATGACCATACTCTTTTAGCATAAGTGAACTTAAAAACAGTATGGTTAATTGTTTTTATGTTACAATGTAACAACAAACCCCTTGGCTTTTCAATTTTTGTTACATCTTTTCAAAATGTTTACATCTCAGTCAGATTAATTAACACACTGCCACCAAAACAGTCCCTGAAATAGTATTACTTTTATCTACTGTATAGCCAAATTACAAAATATATATGAACCTTATGGCGGGACTCTGGGATCCCATTAGCTCCCGACTCTCACATATACTGCGTTGCGACGTCATTTTATGTCTGTTGAAGGCGAACGATACGGCAATGTATTCCTCTCGAGCAGCTCTTGACGATGTGCTAATCAAAGTTTAAAAGTTTAGTTTTTTTTTCTGCGCATTCGTCCTCACTGCTGCGCTTGGACGACACGACAACGGAATAATCCGCGCCAGGTGGGTCGCGGCGTTTATGTGCGCGGTGGGAAGGAGTCGCCAAAAAGAAATGAATTCATTACGATTTTGACTTCCGTTTATTCGGGACCCTGGGGTGCCGCCATAAGGTTCATATTTAAATAACGTGAGTCCGCTAGACTTGGAATGTCCTACACACTTCGACTGAATGGCAGGAACCGAGTGTTTGTTCTCAGCCAGCCTTCGCTGTTCTCTTGCGTGCTGCAAACTCACATCCAAGCAATTCATTCACCATCACATTAAGTGAGCACGCCACCTGCCCCGTCGCCCGCCACGTGCTGCCAAAGCAAATGAACGTGTTGGGACGAGGCCGGCGAAGTTACAGCACTTCACACCCGGACAGGGTCGTGAGCTAATGGGCTTGCTGGTTTCTCTAAGAGGCGTAAAAATATATTATTTGAAGATTTCGATATGTGCATGTTTTCCAGCGTATGTGGGTGAGCGTGTGTAGCAAGAGGCGCGGCATCGCTCACCCTCGCACTGCTGGGACAGTTCGCTCTGCTTGTGTCCCAAAGGGCATTTGCACTCGTACGATCCCACTGTGTTCACACACGTGCCACCCTTGCACATGCCGGGGATGGCCTGGCACTCGTCCACATCTGCGAGTCAACAGATACAACACAATTGCAGATGGTCAAAAAAAAACAAAACCACCCTTCTGCTAATGGTTTGAAGCTAATTGTGCGTACAAGCAGATGTGCGCACAAACATCTCTATCGGTCGTTACTGTGGTTTACCACAACCATGTGTATGTATACATGTACTCTCGTGCCCGTGTGCACATATCATACATACGTGCACAAGTAAAAGATGTATGTACATATGTAGTCATGCATGTACACTGTATGTATGTTTGTTGTACTTGTTTTGCAGCATACATAGTCAACCATAATATTCGGAGGTGCAGGGGAAGACAACAAACTAAACACAAAAGAGCTATTCTTAGAAAATTAGTTTTGAATCTATATTATAAAGGGCATAGCTTCAGAAGCTTCCTAATATCGGAAGGAAGAGCGTTCCAGATGGCCGCAGAAGTGCATCTGACCATCTTTGTTCGATGACCAGCCGCAAGGCGCTGCGAGGATGACTGGAGCTCGCGTAGTGGTTTACGCTCCTTGCCGAGATCAGCAAGATATTGTGGTTCATTTGTGACAGGCACTTTGTGCATAGTGAGTGTATTCGTTCAGCAACCGGAAGCTAATGCACCTCGGCGAGCACAAGACAGACATGGACGGTTCTGTGCATTGTATGTACCCCATGCGTACATACAATGCACATGTGCACGAGTGAAGGATTGCTCATGGGCGGGTGGGTTTACCTTGGCAGGCACCGGTACGGATATTGGGGATGAATCCCCGGCGGCAGGGATGCGGCTGAGCAGGGCAGACCTCGCATGGGTGGCCCCAGGCTCGGCCAATAGTTGCGCAGCAGAGTCCCTTTGTGCACACAATGCCACTGACCTGGCCCTGGCACATCTGATTGCTCACCTGCGTGAAGCACGGCCCAGTGCGGTAATCTGTAACGAGGTCGGGAGAGTCGCTGGTCAGCGCGCGCCCGTTCAGTGTCGTCGTGGCATGCTCCAGATTTGCATTTGCGTATAAATCTTAATTTTATTGCATTGGTGTGTTGTTCCATGCTGAGAATATAGCTGCTAATAATAATAATAATAAAACTGCAGCAAGTGCTGTAGAATGTTCCCAAAAAGGTAAGCCGTTTTTCCCATGGTAAGGTTATTTTCGGCCAAGGATGACAGATTCGATTTATATTTAGCTCTTGAGAGTGTAAAATGTGCCAGTAATTGATTGTTAAAGGTAATACTGTGGTTATAAAATTTCGGCCACCTCAGTTTGATTCCCAGCCATGGCTAATAGCAGTGCTGAGTGATATCCAAACGGGTCTTGGACTCCCGTTTACAACTAAAACCACACCAATAAATTTGGTCAATTATGGTAAAACATCCCCCATTACCAGTAGCATCGGGAGGTCTTGATACAGCAGCCGATTGACAAACATATGTGAATTGTAAATTATTGTTATAAAATTCAGTCCCATATTCTTGGTTCTTTCGGTAAAGTCACATAGAAGGGAAACAATAAAATAATAAAAATATAAAACAAAACAATTCTCACGACGTTTCGACTGCAACACAAGCAATCATCGTGAGAATTTTATTGTTTTATATTTTTATTCTTTTATTGTTTCCCTTCTACGTGACTTTACCGAAAGAGCCAAGAATATGAATCCCTGCAGTCACGAAAGCTTTCAATCAAAATTTAAATCGAAACGTTTTTTTTTTGGGGGGGGGGGTACTTAAAGCAAGCAGCGACATGCAAACAATGTCAACAAATACGACTCATATTCTTGGTTCTTTCGGTAAAGTCACGTAGAAGGGAAACAATAAAATAATAAAAATATAAAACAATAAAATTCTCACGACGTTTCAACTGCAACACGAGCAATCGTCATCAGGTGTGAAAACCACAGCAAGAAAATTTGAAAAAACGTTGCGGTTATTTTTAACGTTAGCAACCACGGAGAGCGATTTGACAGTTTGTTCTGATGGACTTTACCAAAAGAACCAAGAATATGAATCCCTGCAGTCACGAAAACTTTCAATCAAAATTCATTCCCGTTAACGGTCAGCAGTTGTGCCAGCAAGGATAGATGCTTATCGGTGTCTTGAGATGTAGAAACATCCACCCGTTGGAAATTATGTAAGCTGTACGAATCATACTTTGGTTAAATCTCAAAGAATGATGTTTAATTTGGCCATAATTCACAACATTCATGAAGCATGACTTAATCGGAAAGTTGAAGTGGTTACTCTATGTTCTTCTGACATTTGATCATGTATTTTTGCAGGCTAAAAAGTCTGTGCCCATCTCCTATGGAGGGAGGGTTTTGCAATAAGTGCCAAGTGATATTCCAGGAGACATCACAATGTCATGCATGACACCTCCTAAGGCTGGGGAACATATTCAATAAATGGAATGGCAAATTCTAAAATAGCCCACCACGGAATGGATCACAGAATAATATCCAAACATCATAATATTCCAGAATGGTTTTTTTTCTGATTAAACTGTGGCCATGTTATCATCCACTTCCTTTGGAGGCTGCGTTAAATAAGTTCATACTTCTGTTTGGTTGGGTCCTTTTTTCCTCTTCTGAGCCCCATCACCAAAATAACTCACTTATGGAGAAAAGCAGGGTTGTCAACTTAATTAAGATTAGTGAGCACAAAAACTCTGTACTTGTTCAGGAAATGGTGCAAAAATGTCCTAATCTTCGTAGAAACGCATGACAAATATTATTTTTTTGCTTCTGGAACGCAAATGAGTACCAGCTATGCCGGGGACCTTCCAGCAAGCACCTTAGGGGGTCAGTTTAGGTGATTAGCGATGGTGGCACAGGTCCAGTGCACACAGGCTCCCAAATAATGACGTTTACATTTCTGTGTTCAATTAATCAAATAAAATTATGCTTGTGAATGGTTTCAGTAAAAACATTACCTGTGGGAAGCAGAATGGGACTTGCCGAATCAGCTTGCTATCTGCATAATTGTAATCTTAAATCAATACTATACCCCAAAGAACTGAACGTTACGAAAAATTAATAATTGGTTGCACAAAATAATTCGTCCTCATATCAAATATATGCTGCCAACACAATACCAGTTGTTTTGTTGTGAGTAATAATTTCAGCCTGTGGTGCTTTTTAACTTAATAATTTATTTATAATCGGATGTAGGATACTATATTCATTGCCAAATGTAACTTTTGTTTGGTTGGGTGGAGCAACTAAATAAATACAATTTCACACATTCAATCAAGAGTTTTAACAATGGAGAGGGAAGTCTGCCACCATGGAATGTACATTTGACTTTTTTATTTATTCCTTAACCCGTATTTTGTGAGCCCAGTCGCCCTGTTAACTGGAGGATGAATAAATACTCTCAAACTGCTGTGAATCGCTCTCAGAGACCGCTCGGCCCAACATCCACACAGGTGTGAAACATCTGGCCACACGGAACGCTATGGCAGGGAGTTATTTCCGCAGAGTGTGTTTCACGGCACGGTGATTTGTATCTTGTTAAAGGCTTGCTGCTGCTGCAAAGAAGAAGTGGTATGGTTCGCATGATGAAGGGGCACATGGCAGTGCTTGAATGTTCACAGACAGGCACACCCATGAGGAAAAAACCCCTCCCCCTTATGAGGCCTTCTCCCTGAGCTCCACCCACCCTGAAGTCCATGACTCAAAGCTGGCAGATTTCTTCCATCTTTTTTTGCTTCGTTCACGTACCAGCCATAAAGGGCAGCCTGCAGAGTGATGTTGTAACGTCTGTTGCTATGGCAATCACGTTTTCCAGGCCAGTGTTGGTGTCTGTTGTTATTATTATTGCTACTACTACGATGCAAGATCGAATATTAGACTCGCTAGGCGACTGAGTTAGAGGCAGATATGTGCAGCGGTCGGATATATGACCATTTACAGAATGAACATCAGAGTGACACTATGCCCAGGCTGGAATTGGACAAAAACATCGAGTGAAAACTTCTGTAGACTTGGGAAAAATGCTTCGCAGTATGTTGGAAATAAGTGAATGTGCGCGACGTTAAGGACACGTTGCCGTGTGTGAACGGGCCACATTTGCAAACATCTATAGAGAAAGACGGTTACCACCACGCATGAATACTGGTCCGGGGACCGGATACGTACAATGGTTGGGCATGCGACATTGCGTTTATATAATTACCGTCCATTTTTGTAAACGTTAAAAACGTTGTATTATTCGGCGATTATTTGATGCTCACAGGCATTCCCTTGCTGAAACGTAACGCTCGCACGTAACATGACTCTTCAATGTGAGGATTATATGTGCATGTTTTCAATTTGCTGACTCTTCCTTTGCAGGAGCTGTACGTGCGGCATTATTTATTTATTTATGGCAGAAGGGCAACATTTGAGTAAGTAGCTGTCATGAAAAATACTATCATTTACTAATTTAAAAAAAGTGGAACAGAATACGTGCTGCTCCATGCTTCCTCCTTAATGTATCGTGTACTTGAGGAATGTTTTTTTAAGCACCTTGTTATTAACTAGTCTTTGGACAGCCTGTTAATGTGACATGGGTTAGTTTACAAAAGATCAACGCACTAGTAGCTTAACCCTGTGGCCAACAGGTGATAAATTCAGCTGCGTAAAAGATGTCCGTATGGTCAGGGTTCTTTACCCAGAATTAAGGTTTTAAGCGAACTGAACAGCAGCATCTGTTTTGTTTTTAAAGTACAATAATCTTGGCTCCACATGCCTTTTTCCACTTGATCATTTATCCTTTAGTACTACTAATAATAAATTATGTATGGAAAGAGAACATTATCTCTGTATTCCAGTGCAGTTTGTTCCGAAGAGTACTCAGCAATAATAAGCAATATATACTGCATACATGGGACACCAGATATAATTTTCCACCAACAATATTTCCCCAGAATTTCTCATAACCTTTGCCAACAGCATGAACCAGGAGCAACGTAAGAATGCAGACCACAACATTTAAAAAAAAAATTGGCATGGTAGATAATTGTTTAAAAAATATATTTTTTAAGAGTTTGTCGATCGGCAGGTTTCGTGTGGTAGGTTAAAGTCTGGGTACTCCCACCTCTTGCAAGACGTCTGGATAGTGTAGAAGAATATGCCAAATTTGCCCTCTAGAGTGGCTCTCTAGAACCGCCTCTCGCAGAGGGCTCCTTCCACTAGCAGTGGCAGGAGCAAACATTTGCAAGGCCTGCACCTATAGCCTTTTAATAATAATGTTGGTTCCATCCTGAAAGAGACAATTGCTGCTGAAGAGTAAGTGGGCACGCACGAACACTCGCTCACTCACCTCGTTCGCAGTGTGGGCCTGTGAATCCGTAGACGCAGGCACAGCGATTTGGCCCAATGCATCGGCCTCCGTTCTGACATCCCGTATCACACACGGCTGCGAAATAGATCAGCTGAGATTTACCATTTGCTTGTCATCAAATCTATTCAGCTGTAACGAATGGTCACTGCCAAAACTTTATGTTGCAATGTCTTGGGACTCGTCCTACAGTTTGTATTTATTTCCCAGTCTGCTTGTAAATTTACCATTTCAAGACAGATTCCGGATACATTCCAGATTCCGATTTATGATAAATTATTGAAACTACATTTAATGATTTGTGAACTAACTTGTATGACTTTACAATGCAAATCAGCTTAAGTAAAATCTATATATATAAAATTGTAAATGTGGACACGTAGACCATGAATACACTGTGGTAATACTCTAACTACAGAATGTGTGGGTAGCTTGTTGTTGTGCGAACGTTGATCTCAGCTGAGATCAACATTTTCCTGCAGCTGTTTTTCATTATTTTCGCTTCTCATAGTTTAAGAGGTTGCAGTTTTACAAAGAATTAGGCCAGATGAAAAAAAAGATTGCTCAAAATGGTTCGAGCAAACAATCGTCTTCATAGACTCGGATTTTGTGAAGAATCTTTTTTACATTATGAAAAAAGAACATTTGAAACAGAGCCAAGTCTGCATTCACAGAAAGAATCGGGACTGGCTCCAAGTGACTGATGAATAGAGAAAAAATGGGTCTGAAATATTTCCCAATAAAAAGAATGAGAGAGAAAATGCACAATCAGCAGATCTCCAGTCCATGCATGACTTAAGAGACCACGTCTGCAACGTAATTAATGTTTGCATTAATTAATCTTACATTTTTGCCACTTAGCTGGGCCAAGTTTGGTCGTGACTGGCTCAGGGAACTGATGTTTAACGAATGTTGGAATGTATATCTTTTTTTTTACTCTTTACAACAACATTTATAATGGGTGAAAATACATAGCGATCTCCTTCAATACTTTAAATAAAATAAAACTGTTGGCAATAAAGAACTCCAGTTATGCTGACATAGAGCACGTGGGGAAGTGTTTATTTTGGCAATTTAATTCTCCCTGCAACAAAGGAAATATCTAAAACGTACTGAAATTGTTCAGTGACGTCTTAAAGCAATCTCAATTCATCTAAACATTTGTTTCACCCGTAAGATATGTACTTCCTAAATAATTATTAATATTCTCAAATTTCAGGTTTCTTTTAACCTTACATTAATTTTCTTCTTGGCTCCAAACAAATTCATAAATACTTTGGTATTGATTACAGGAGCCAAATGGGGAAGGCTTACAAATATGATATTACCGCAGAAACCAATTATTAGCTTCATTTACAAATATATCTCTGAAAGTTAACTCATCATGGTCAGGCTTATGTTGTGCCAATTCTGGAGTATCTGGCATGTATCCATTATATTACACATATATATTGGTTGAGTATATGTTTTTTTATATTTCGTGTATATATTACTTAATCTAGTGAACTCATTAGCATCGTGGCATGCACAACATGTGTAACGAAAGGATGATAGCATTTAAGGGGCTTTTTTATACTTATACTTTTTTATACTTATACAAATTGTGATGCGGGTGCCTTTTTCAGCACGTAACTTTCCAAGCTTTCTATTTCGTAGGGTCGTAGTTCATCTTAAAAAAAAATGTACACACACACTGCAGTTCACCGACACATGCATTAGCATGAGGACAAAATAAAATAATTATGGCGCCAGCTGCTTAGGGGACTGTCGTGGCGGCTGCGAGAATGCGTTTGTCACGTGGGCGACAAAACTTTAAAAACGCAATTATGGACAAAACTCACGCTGTCCGCAGTGGGTGCCGGTGTAGCCCTTTCCACATGAGCAGTGGTCGTCCGCGCAGCTGCCGCCATTCATGCACCTGATGTTGCATTGGCTGACTGTGAAATGGCACACCGGTGATTTCCCCATGTCAGCAGAAGAACAGACACTCGTTGAATTCGTACACGCAGAGGAGACGCGCGTTGATCTTTTTTTTTTACTGCGCAAAAAAATATTGTGACGTTAATAGGCCAACTACTGGTTCAGTCAAGTCAGTCTTTATGAAATATCAGAAAGTCTTTTATAACGAGACGGGATCATTTATCAGTCGCAGAATTATATAAAAGTCACGTAAAGCACACTGCACAAGAAGCGATTTTATTTTATAAAGCCGCAAGATATCAACCATCGCTAAGAATGTCGATCCGTCATTTCTCATTGGCAATGCAACTCACCAAGACTATCAGTTTGTTGTTGGGCTGCCATTGCCCCGTTCAGCGTCATGCGTGACTATTGAATGTGACAAGAGCATGGCTTGACGTGGCCTTGTCAATGGGCCAATCACAAATGACTAAGACATCACATGCTGCTCGATGCCCTTAGTCTCATTCCTGCACAGGACGTTACATCGTATAGTTGCCAGAAATTATTCTACAGGTTTGTCAATTCGCTTTGGGCAACAGCGATAGTGATTTCCTACTATTTAGGTTTTCGCCGTTGTGCTGTATAGCTCTCCCATATCTTTTCGAGTTGTACCGCGTGTTGGATGACATGATGTCTGAATTCAGTTCCTGAGGAGCCCCCAACACTTGGAGCGAAACGTCAGACTTCATGTCAAACAGCACGTGGGTAGAACCCGAAAACACACCTAAGACCTACAATAAATTCCTCGGACGAATAGGCGACCGGAGGAGAAACACTGTAGTAAAAAAAAAAAACTATCGTACGTCTGGGACAGAGATTTAAATACACCGGCACTTGTGCCGGCCATCCTGGAACTCACTGGACTTGGAGCCGCAGGTGGATGAGATCTGCCCACTGGAGCAAGTGCACATGTTGGGACGCGAGCAGAAGCCATCGCCGCACGAGTGTCGACAGATCGCTGCAGCGCACAGAGCGAGAGGTGCAAGAGAGGGACGCGTTAGGGCATCGCTACACGGTGGATGCGCATCACTCTCACGTATGACCGCGTCGGCTTCCACACTCGTGCTGCAGAACTCGCCGTGTGCATTCGTCGGGTTATGCCGTGTGCGTTTGCTCGGCACGGATGTCTGAGGTTTCACTCCCAGCTTCCAGCAGGGCATGGGGCGAAACGTCAGACACCGTGCCAAACGAACACGCGGGCACAACCCAAAATCACATCGGAGAGCCGTACAGTGCAACTATGTGTGGCATTTCCACGGGAGAGAGACTGAAAGCAGACACAAGTTCGTTGTGTTACATATGTTACTCTTTGGCAAATCGCACAGGCCTAAGAGTCATATCGCAGGAAAGGATTTCGGAGTAATCGTTTTTTTATTAAGTGAACATCTACGGAAAATGACAGCTACACAATGAACAAATATGTTACCCGGACAAATGTAAAGAGCAAACTGCATTAAACGTGGACAAATATTTTCCGGCCCTTTAGAAGTGAGCGAATGTACGTGAGATTAAGAACACATCACTGAGTGTGTGAGGAGGTCGGGTTTATGATCATCGATAAGGCAACGACAGTTGGATGTGTGGCGCTCAATTCCTCGGTGTGGCTTGTTAGACGGTCCGGACATGCGACGCTGTGCTGTATGAACGTTTTCAGCATTTGCCGGTAAACGCAACACGTTATGCTGTCATATTGCCTAAACTGCTATCAGCCACCATTCTATCATTAATTTCCTGTTGAGTTGGCCAGGGAGGGTGTGTTATACTTACGCACGATACACTGGTTGCCACCAGGTAAGGTCTTCCAGCCGGGACAACAGTAGGAATGAAACCGGGATCCGCACACATTTGGTCTAAATGACATAAACCAGAACAACAACAACAACACACATTTTTTTAAATGTACCATTTTATGTGCGTTTTATTTGAACAAATTACAATGCGAACGTCCAGGTAGGGGTAGCGGGACAACTCAGTGAGTTTGTAGATATTTTCACAGCGGCCTCGCTTTGGCTGAGAAGCAGTGACACACACACACAAAATTGTTCTGCAGGACCATGTGGTATCATCATGTTGCTGATAGTATCTGCCAAATAAAGTTCATTTTTACACTCGACCATGCCAAAAAAAAAAATTTGAATTCCTTTTATAAGCGTGCATGCATGTTGTGAGCTTGTGCATTGCTCGTACATTTGTATTATTGTTCAATCATTTGCTGGTTTAACGTTTTTTTTAAGGCGACTAAAGTGCCGATGTTTTGATACGTTTCACTTTCAGCATTCGGTTTCCCAGGCACACACATTAGCAAGAATCGCCGGAAAAGAGGGTCCGTGCGAAGTCGAGTGACCGACGAGTTGTTATTCTTTCCATTTTACCCATTTTAGTGCGTGTGTGTGTGTTGTGTGCCTGTTGTACTTGTGGGTTATGCACCACACAAGGCTCACACGCAGACGTGTTTGCCCACCAGTCCGGAATACGAAGGCCGGCAGGGTTTTTGTTGTTCGTTGTTGTTGTTGTAAAAGTGCCAGGGACAAAAAATAAACAACCATATGAGGACCGGGCCCCCCTCCCACCCCTAACACCCAACAGCAGCAACACGCACGCACACACCAAGATCCCCCCGTACAGCCTTAACACACTGTAGGGGCAAGTGCTGTTAGCGAGCACCTATGAAGGCCGGCACGGTACACGAGGGAGTGGGTGGCCAGCAACCACGCCCGACCGCCTTTGTCTCCCCAGTGACGATGTTTACTACACACCGCACCAGGTACTCATTTGAGGCCGAGTCGAGCTAGGGGAGGCCCAGAACCGGTTCAGATAATCGTCACTGGGTGTTGGCCGTGAGCGGGAATCGAACTCGGGTCGCCGGGGTTCGTAGCGCAGCGTAGCGCTTACCGCTGCACCACCGCTCCCCACACACACAGACACACACACAGACACACACACAGACACACACATCGACACACAGACACACGCATAGATACACACAGACACACGTATAGACACACACAGACACACGCATAGACACACACAGACACACGCATAGACACACGCATAGACACACAGACACACACAGACACACGCATAGACACACACAGACACACATAGACACACAGACAAACACATAGACACACACACAGACGCACACACACACGCATAGACACACACATAGACACACACATAGACACACACAGATACACGCATAGACACACATAGACACACGCATAGACACAGACACACACACAGACATAGACACAGACACACAGACCTAGACACACACATACACACACACAGACACACCCATAGACACACGCACAGACAGACACACAGACATACGCAAAGACACACACATAGACACACGGAGACACACGCATAGACACACACAGACACACGCATAGACACACGCATAGACACACACAGACACACACAGACACACGCATAGACACACACAGACACACGCATAGACATACGCAGACACACCCATAGACACACACAGACACACGCATAGACACACATAGACACACACAGACACGCATAGACACACATAGACACACGCATAGACACACGCATAGACACAAACAGACACACAGACACACAGACACACGCACAGACACACGCATAGATACACACAGACACACGCATAGACACACACAGACACACATAGACACACACAGACACACACACAGACACACACACAGACACACGCATAGACACACACAGACACACGCATAGACACACACAGACACACGCATAGACACACAGACACACACACATACACACGCATAGACACACACAGACACACACACAGACACACGCATAGACACACACAGACACACACATAGACACACGCATAGACACACAGACACACGCATCGACACACACAGACACACACACAGACACACACATAGACACACACACAGACACACGCATAGACACACACAGACACACGCATAGACACACACAGACACACGCATAGACACACACAGACACACGCATAGACACACATAGACACACACACAGACACACGCATAGACACACACAGACACAAGCATAGACACACACAGACACACGCATAGACACACACAGACACACGCATCGACACACACAGACACACACACAGACACACACGTAGACACACACACAGACACACGCATAGACACACACAGACACACGCATAGACACACACAGACACACACACACAGACACACGCATAGACACACAGACACACGCATAGACACACACAGACACACGCATAGACACACACAGACACACGCATCGACACACACAGACACACGCATAGACACACACAGACACACGCATAGACACACAGACACACACACAGACACACGCACAGACACACAGACACACGCATAGACATACACAGACACACGCACAGACACACGCATAGACACACACAGACACACACATAGACACACACAGACACACACACAGACACACACAGACACACGCATAGACACATACAGACACACGCATAGACACACACAGACACACACACAGACACACGCATAGACACACACAAACACACACAGAGACACACAGACACACACATAGACACACACATAGACACACAGACACACACATAGACACACAGACACACACAGACACACACATAGACACACACAGACACACACACTGACACACGCATAGACACACACAGTCACACAGACACACACACAGACACACGCATAGACACACACAGACACACACAGAGACACACAGACACACATAGACACACACATAGACACACAGACACACACATAGACACACAGACACACGCACAGACACACACATAGACACACACATAGACACACACAGACACACACACAGACACACGCATAGACACACACAGACACACGCACAGACACACACAGACACACACAGACACACGCACAGACACACACATAGACACACACAGACACACACAGACACACGCACAGACACACAGACACGCACAGACACACACAGACACACACATAGACACACACACAGAGACACACACAGACACACATAGACACACACATAGACACACATAGACACACACAGACACACGCGTGGACTCTCGACACGCTCACTGTCTCAGGTCGCTGAGTGTGTGCTCGTAATTAAATGCGCGTAACTGAAAAGTGAAGGGGAAACAAATACACTTAAGGCTCCTGGCCAAAATTCGGTCCAATTAAAATAACACGCAGTTTTAGAGTTCAATTTCCCAAACGCATTCGGACATCTGACTGCGTGTGGATCCCGCTTGCTCGGTCGGTTTTTTTTTTATTGCCGCTTCTGATAGGGAGCAACAAAGCTATTTTGATTCTGGCACACAAACACTCAAAGTCATAGACGGTTTACCTATTGAACGAAGTGTGTTACGTCTTTATGAAATATACGAGACTGTATTTCGTGAGTGGAATGATTCACTCTCCTGACGAATCCACAGATTGTCATGATTCAGGCTCTCGATTCAATTCAAGGATGGCTTTAATCTTTTTTTTATTGTCCACTGCAGTTCAATGAATGATTAGTGCCTCCAGTGGATGCAGCGAGTAACGTGAAACTGACAGAGCGTGCACATGAATTGAGATACAGCGCATTTTTAAAGAGGCGATTGGATACGCATATGATGATGTTAACATTGGTGTTCATCGATCAGTCAGCATATGTTTCTACCCCGAATATATTTAATACAAAGCACAACATTTTACTCAGATTGTAAATATCGTGGCTTGGCTCTCCAACACACCGGTGTGCTGTATGAGTGACGAATTGGCACGTTCTTTTTACGTGACAATCCTTACTAGTTGACTGTGTCGGGTGGTGGCGGGTTTTAACGACACATTCATATATGTACGCGATCTAACCCAAAAAAACCTCTATTATGGATGACATTGGTCGCGAAAGCCTACGTGTTAAACTGCTATTACTTTTAAACGTGGTGTATGCTTTCTCACCCCGTGAAATCGAAATTTTACATTTGTGCAGAAAAAAACCCGAAGTGATTCGCAAAAAAACTATTTCTGTGGAGTCCTGCGCATAACATGTGGCCGGTTTTGCATGTGGAAGTATTTTAGTTAAGACGGAGGAAAGGTGAGAGTGCCTGGATAAAACACAGTATGCAAGGGTTGAATCAAACTCTGCACGTAACACGAGTTGTACTGCCTCCTAGAGGCACCATGTGGCCCTACATGTAGTTATCACGCGGACTCCGTCTCGTTGTGATCCACCAACCTCAAACACACTGGCAAGACTGTGCTACACGATTGTGCTACCATGAAAAAAAAACAAGAAATACCTTAAGGCAAGTCAATGACCATGTTTAGCAAGTGGATCTGCACATGACAATGCTGTTAGTTTCTACAAGCGCTTGTTAGCATGTGTTTGGCAAACAATAAACTGATGCCTCAGAGGAATGTTGATAATTCCATAGGAGGATACGCTCATCTGGTTTAACGTAACTCTACAATGCATTCCCACACCAGTGCATATTTATTTCAAGGGATGGCCAGCACTTGGCCCCTGGACCCTTTCCCCACAATATTAAACCAACAGTGTAGCTTGCTTTGGCAGGTTTCAGACAAGTCTAATTTTCATTTATAGTGCCTGATGTTACTTTGCCAGTCAAAAACAATCAAGCGGATTCAGAGCAGTGCTGATGTCTCGGGGTGAAAACACGCATTTGCAAAAAAAAACAGCCGGTTAATCTGACGAAAACTACAAAGACACAAAGTCAATGTCACGAATTTTCAGTGATTCTCTGCCATTGCGCCGGTGCAATAAGTACTACGACTATTATTTTAGGGAAAGCGTAATTGCAGCAGCACTGACGCATCAAGGCATGCCTGGTTTCATTTCCTCTCAACATTTATTTTTATTTTTTAACGCAACAACAACAAAATAATTTTAATCTGAACGTCATTCCCGGGAAATGTTTTTTTTTTGTTTGTTTGTTAAACCACAGTACAATTTTGGTCAAATCTGAAGGAGCATTCCTGGACAGAGCCAATAGTGCGTAGGCGGGCGGGCGTTCGAGGAGGCTCGGTTTTGGCATGGGTGGCTTTTTTGTTGATGTTGTTGGGGCGCGTGCGTGCGTGCGGTTGTGCAGTTCCTGGCTCACCCTCGCAGAGCGTCGTGGCGGCCCCTTCGTGGGGCCCGCGCCACGGGGCCCTCCTCGGCCTGCGCGAAACGCTCCGCTTGGAAGTCACCCTCAGCCCCGAGTGCGCCCTCGACGGCGAGCCCCAGAAACGCCGAGAGGCACAGGGCCAGCCTCAGCAGCCCTCTCCTGGCTTCCATTTTCACTCGCGATGCTTTGTCTGTGTCTGTCTGTCTGTGAGTGGGGGGGGGGGGGGATTTTTTTTTTTGCGCTGTTCCCACAGATCCTTAATTGAACCTCGCCACCCCCACACACCCCCCCCAACCCTCCCCTTACCCTTGGCTAGGATTTTCCGGGCCGAATTAAGAGCGCAGAGCGCAGGCTTTCTTGGAGCGGAGGAAGTGTATGTGTTGGGGGCACGCTTCCCTAAGTGGTAAACTTCAGAAGATCTGCGCCCCTTCTTCGATGTTGTACAAACGCTCTTGATACGATGCTTTGCAGGTTCACACTGCTGTAAATGAAAACAAGAACAACGCCACATTTGACAATTCTGCTTGCTAACATGAGACAAATTTGGCACGGCATGTGCACCAAGTGAAAAGTTTAATGTTATGACTACAAAAATAGGTGCTATTATTACAATACTGCTGTCTCGTGTCAAACGTTGATATAGTTTAAACGAAGCTGCATTAGACACGCACATGCAATCCGCCCCGACGCTAAACATTCGCATGGACATAGGATGAGAGATAACAAACGACCTCCCGAAAGACGAGCGAGCTGAACATGACGCTGGCACCGAAAGTGACTGCGTTGACATTCTTTCTCATTTCATGGAGGAGCACAAATAAAATACGCCATGAAAACGCCGACGGCGTCTATTTTGTCGCTGTATTTTGCTTGTGAACGTGAAATATTTCAGTCACCAAGCGCCACAATTTTGGTTCAATTAGAATATTTGTTGCGCTTACTACGAGAAAGGGGTTTTAAGGGTGAGTTTTAAGCGACTTTTTATTTTCCCTGTAAACACAAATCAGTGATATTTTAAACATTTTGACATGAATATATATATAATCCTTTGCAAGCTGATTTACACACATGAATACCAATGCTAAACTCAACAGTATTTGTACATTTGATTCGCATCAAACGTTTTACTCCCGCATACGCATAACGACACTCAATAAGATGCAAGACATCTGCTAGCAATTTAAACTTTCCTGTACTGTGCTCCAAAAAAAATACATTCTTTTAACAATGTCCCTTTTGTGCAAGCACTATACCATCGAAAACTCCTCTACATTGGTGGAGGATATGTTAAAGCAATGTATTTCAAATAAAACAAACTTTAAAAAAAAGGTTTGCTCATAAATACCGAGTCCAAAGGAATCATCATACCTACGATCATTGTGTGCGTGTGTGCGCTCCAGAAAACGAGAGTGTGCGATTTGCGAGGCAAGGACGCCGTTCGTTACCTTTAACTCCGATTCCCCCTTCCTCTGCGTCGGATGGGGTGGGTGGTGGTTAAACGTCTCGGGGCTTGCGGCGCTGCTCGGTTGGGGCTGAGTCTACTGTGGGTGTTCAGGTTCCCACGCGCTTGGAACCTGGGCACTGGTGCGGCCTCGCTGTGAGCCCGCAGAGTGCGACTGAAACCATCGGCTCTCGCCGCCGCCGCTTAAAGGCTTTCCAAGGCGAATCGCGCGCCTTCGCAAAAGGCGGATCCTATGATTGACAACGCGCTGTAGGTTAACAGAGAGGAGGAGGAGGAGGCGGCTTGCGGAGTGAAGGAGGGGAGGGGGATCGTGATTGGGAGGGGAGGGTTGGAGAAGGAGGGAGGTAGAGAGTTGTGCGTTTAGGATAGAGGTTTTGCTGGGGTGCCAAGTGGGGATTGGGGGTGGATTGAAATGCAGGCGGGGAGGGGTTGGCAGCCTTAAAAAAAAATCCCCTGCCCCTTGGCTCATTTTTTGATCACGAGCCACTGCTGCAGAACTCACAGAGTGTGCAGACGTCCAGCAAACCACAGCAACATTGCTGCTGTCCGCCCGTTAGCATAAGTATATGGTTATTAAGTTGTGTTTACCAGGGAGTAAAAACAATTACAACGTTCTGAACTCGTTATGTAATAATAATTATTTACATGAGCTGATTTAGCTTTCACGTAAAGCATTGTTTAAGCTGCATGTTCTTTTGCATCGCGTTGCCATACGTTATATCTGGTTTTTATTTACTTGCGTGCATTCGTAGCTTCAAGAGTTGTGCTGCAAATACGTTGCCTATGAACGTGTATCGAGTAAAAGAAGACACTTTTTCAGGGTGTGAACTACACAAACGTATACACAGGGCGAAACAGGCAATCCTTAATGCCAGGAAATTAAAATGGTCTGTTAACTTATAGTCATTAATCAATCCAACACTGGATGAAGTCCTTCACACGCTGTAAGTCAGGGGGGGAGGCGAGGTTGTTTGACCATACTTCACCACACTGGTCATATTAGGGTTGGTCAAAGTGGTGCCCAGAACTTAATTCAGATATTCTCCACTAACATTGTCCATCACCAGGTTCAAACCACAGTGCACTAACCACTGTGCCACCATTCCACCATGCTTCCCAAATATACAGCATTAAAAAGTACACTCTAAAGAAAAATAATAATAGATCCATACATGAAATATTACATCTCAATAATGAGCACTGCTGAGTCACAGCATGGGTGTGTGCGCGTGTGTGGCTAATGTTGCGATGGGGTGGCACAGCATGTTAGCGCGCTGCACTACGAACCTGGCGACTCGAGATAATTCCTGCTCACTGCCAACACCAGTAACAATTATCTGAACCAGTCCTGGGCCTCCCCTAGGTCAATTCAGCCTCAAATGAGTACCTGGTGCGGTGTGTAAAAACATCGCCTGTGGAGAGACAAAGGCGGTCGGGCATGATGCTGACCACCCACTCCCCTCGTGTACCGCGCCAGCCTTCATAGGTGCTCGCTAACGGCACTTGCCCCAATAATCTGTTAAGGCTATACGGGGGATCTTTGTCTTTGTGGCTAATGTGGCGATCGGGGTACACAGCGCTCTCACGAGGGAGCTCCTTGCGTGCTGGGATGCTAGGACATTGGCTCACTTCACACTCAGACCATAAACAAGGACGTGTATCAACCACTGGGCCTTAGGGGGAGAAGTCTCAGTGCTTACGTTCGAATAGAAAGTTTTTCCCTTTCAAAAAATGTTGTTCGTTTGAGACGGACACCAAGTGATGTCACGTGGTCTGGCAAGCTACAGGTGGTCCCCATCTCATGCGAAACCTTGCATGTTCTCAAAAGCAATTACGTCCAGATAGCACAGAAGTAAGCGCTAATGTTTAATTACAATATTCCTACATTTGCTCATTACTAAAATAATGATATTACCATATGCAGGCATGCGTGCAGGATTCAATTGCAAAGTGAATAACTCTGAGTTCAATTTCACAATTTTTTTAAAAAATTATAATTATTATTTGGTTAAATACTCTGTAATTATGTACCACTTTCAAAATTATTTCTAATTGCAGTAATTGTCCTTTTAATAGTCTACATATAGGACATAATTGTGGTAGCATTACTGCAAATGTTTAAGAAAACATTGTAATCTTATCAATTGTGTTTCTTGGTAAATGTTGATACTAGGTCTGTTGCATAGATTTATCCTATGCTGCGCATTGTAATTGGCCATATGCAACAGACATCATGAAATCAAATCTCAATTTGGGTTTCTCACCATTTTTTAAAGTACAGTACCAGTTGGTTATGTCTTCAACTGAATGTGTAACGTTTGTCAAGTGCATATTTCAAAAGCATTCAATTTAACATACTTTTAACTCGTAACAATGTTACCACAGATATCACAATTGCATATTTGAGAATCATATTCTTAAAGCAAAACATTGTGCAGTAATATGTATAATAAAAATACAACTTTATTTTCAAACATGTTATAGCCAGGTATTAATGTTCTACATACAATAATCTCCATTAAAACGTCTTATGTTAAACATCACATACAGTACATTTCTCTTGGCATGCGAAATAAATAGCCATTGTTGGCATACACTTATAAGAAGCCCCCTTAAGGGGTGATATGACTGAACAAGCTGCCAGACCAAAGAGGGCCTGGCATTGATGGCTCCAGCAAACCCAACCATTGTACTATGATCTGTTACCAATTTGCTTGGGAGGGTCTACTGCATGCTCCTGGTGGCCCATGTAAAGCATGCCTCAGCCTTGACCTTTATTAGGAGTGGGTTTATAAGCTTTGGGGGTGATTCGCCAATTGCGAATGTTCAGAATGTTCCTTCTGCCCCGCCAATGTGGGTTTTGTCATAACGTTTTATTGGCTCGAATCCCTCAGAACGGCCAGATATGCAAATTATTGTATGGTTTAGTTTAAACCAAGGGACTTAGGAACCACACGACTGGTTGAAAGGCATGTGTCCAATGCTTTAAATAATCACGAACATAGATTAAGTTATTTTGACCAGATTCGTGGCAGAGCTGCTAAAAAAGCAGGCAAACATGTCAGCCATAATCACACATCATCACTTTGTTCATAAAACCAGCAATTTAACATAATTTACCGTAATAGGGTGGTTTACCGAAAAAAAATACAATAGCTCCTTCATGAATGACGTCAGTAAGGGAAAGGAACGCACTTTAGGGGAATAGTAGTTAGGCTGACAGACAGGCAGGGGATGCATTGTGTATATGAAGCACGGTTACAGGGAATGATTTGTGTTGCCGTGTGTCACGTGGTGAAATGTACAAGTGTGCCATGCCGTATTGATATTCAAAATAAGGTTACAATGTAATTAAGTTACTAGATGATGTGGGTGACTGGAACTGTGTGATACAATGAATGCCTTTTTTTAGGGGGGGGGGGGGGGGGGGTTTCACACAAATATCGCTGATGACCACAAAGTTATACTGGTCTTTCTTTGAAAGTCTTCAATGAACAATAGAACAAAAAGAGCCTTTTATAAAAATCATGGCAGGGTTCCTGCTGTTCATTTCATCATAAAAAGTAGAACATCGTATCATGTTAATTTTGTATGGAGATGGCAAGAGATACGCAGAGCACGATTACCCCTAAAGCAATATAATGTGGCCTAAATTAAACAGAAATAATGAGTCGTCAAGTTTCACACAGTGCAGAATTTCTCCTCTGAAATGCGTGGCATCTTAAGTAAATAAGGGAGGCCCGACTGAAATTACCGTCGTGTTTAATGTGCCAGGGATCTTCATAAGTAAAAATATTCTCAGCATATCACCAGCCTGTACAATTTTAAAGGTAAATTGAGTCTTTATACTTATTACACATATGTAGCAAAAGTAAAGTCCATTACATCGTTACAAATAAAAGAGTGAAGCGTGTGCAAGTTTTCTGCTAAACTATGAAATACTTCATTGTGTTAGTTGTGAAACACAATGCTGTATTAGTGCACTGCGCTATGAACCTCGCGGTCTGAGTTTGACTCTTGGCCATGGCATGTTGTGATATCGGAACCGGTCCTGGGACCCAACTCCTTCACCAACGCACACTGGCCAGAGCGTCTGATTGGCGGCAATATGTATAGCACACTGCTCTATGAATTGAGTGGCCCCAGTTTGATTCCCGATGATGGAGAGTGATTTCTGAGCGAGTATTGGGACTTCCTACTTCAAACACATTACAGACGAATGCTCCATCCGTGCACATCCTCCTGATGGTGTTGCGGCACTTTGTACAGCATCTATTGCCTCCTTGGATTGGTTGCAAAAAAGTTAGCATTCAACTATGACGAGTTCCAAAGCTGTTTTATTTCCATCCTGCCATACAAAAGAAGAAGATTGACCAGCTTGGCGAAGTATGGAGAAAACAATTACCATGACTGAAACAGCGTTGAGAGGCCTTCGTCCAATAGTGGATTGACAAAGGGCAGGCAGTAAGCTATCATTCTTGCTGCAATGGAATGAGTGTGGTATTCAGGTGGGTCTGTTTGGCATGTGAAAGTGCAGATGATTTTAACCCTTTCAGAGGCACCATCAAAATTATGTTAGCAGCTGTATAAACTATGGGCAGTTATTAATGCAATTTAAGCCAGTGGAATAATCTGGCAAGAGCGTCACAATAATTACATCAGCAAATAGCATATTGCTGGTTAATAATAATAATAGATACGCTGTGATATTTTTTTTCATTCGCCGACTTGCTCTGTACTCTGTGGCATTAAGTATTTCTATATATTCGTTAAATCACTGAACATCGGATTTCAAACGTTTAACAATCCAGAACCAAAATTATGGTAACATTCAAACGTTGATTCAGAATCATTGTCAGTGCAAACTAGTTTTAACTTTTACGCATATTACAAATGTTTTAATTGGAAAGCAATTTAGCTATTTTTAATCCACGTCAGGATCTTAAGATGGCCATTTTTGAAGAGTTGATCCATGATAGATGTGATCTCACGTTCGAGCTGCTGAGTCACTGCCGTATTTAAAAATCTCACGCAAAACTGACTCACTCTGTTAATCGCCACGAGTGGCACTGCATATTTTTTCCTCTCTGCCATGGACTAATGAATCGAGTTTAATGTTTTCGGTATTTGTTTTTTATAAAAAATTGTCCCGATTATTATCTTAAAACATTATTTATTTAAGGAAAATGTAAAAATGAGAGGGTTTGGACTGGCACCACAATGTTTAGCAACACTGCACAATGAGTTT